ACGGTCACTGAGATGTATCAAGAGTAGTCAATTACGGGGTAGAAGGGATGGGGCTACCCAGCAAAAAAGACCGCAGGCCAATCGGTCCAGCGGTTGCTGAGATATAAGCCTCTCAAAAGCGTTACAGGGCCGGGCCGGGCCGCTCATACTGAGATTTTTCCGTTATATTGAAAAGACTTCGCTTCGCTCGCAGTCGCTGCGCTCGCTCGCTCGTAATAAGTATATATCATAGTATGCTTATTACCTGGCTACAGGTCAATGGCGGCAAGGGATCCCTGAGGTAGGCTTGGGAGTTGGTAGTTACCTAGGTATATCCAGCCCATTACGGTCTAGTTCCTTTTCAGCGAAGGCCGAAGCTTTAGTTCAATGAGGAACAAATGAAGAAACGAAAACGCCACCCTCTCAGTCAGCCGGGACGCAAAAGCATAATTGACGCAGGAAGGTCAGGAAACACCTAGTGACAAAGGAGCATAGAGTATATCTATGCAAAGGAGCATCTCGATCGAAAGAAACGAGCCATGCGGTACAGTATATCTTCAGGCGCTTTTGCTGCTGCCATCTAGGGGCAAAATAATAAGCTGTAGTACAAGTATTCGGCATTGACCAATTCATGTTATTTGATTTTGTCGTCAGATAGTTACGCATACCTAATATTAACAGCAAATATATTTAAATGGTTGATTTTTAGACAACTTCTACTTAATGTGAAATATTTTGACTGATGGCTGCATAAACTTCACAAATTATTTCATTTTGGCGTCAAAAATGGCGCGATAGCTACAAAATATGGTAAATTGCAATCTGAGGTCAGGTCAAGTGATCTAAGGCACGGGTTCGGTTTTTGGTAAATAACTTCGCCAAAAATGGCCGTAGAGCCGCGATTTTGTTATCATCGTGTTCAGCTAGCTCAGGCGCATCGAGTGATATACTTTTTGTTCGGGTCAGGTCAACTTAGGGTGTTGACCTCAGGTCAAGGGCAGGTCAGCACCCCCAGGTCACGAAGTTGGTCGAAAGAGGTCATGTCGCATATCATTCGATTCGGCAGGTCTTCCTGAGTCCATTGGTGGCTTTCCCGACTCGCTAGCTCAATTTGATCGGGAGTTATTGAAGAAAAACTGTGACCCTTGTGACGTCACAAATGACGTCACCCAAGGGCAACAATGCAAATATGAAGCATAGAACCTTGCAAGGAGTGCATGAAATCATGATTTTATATGCTTGAGATAGTTTCAGATCATTCTCGACGCCAAAATAGCAATTTTCATATTTCCCCATTGACTTATAAAGGGCTTAACGTATTAGTTTCTTGTATCTGATATTTTTTAGGATTTGATCTTATTCTCCACTCAATTCTGCGTAAGATACCGGGTTCCGTGTCCACATAGCTTGAACGTAACGGATGCAGCGACCGCAAACGTAAATCGAGGTCCCGAATTCCCTATTCCCCAACACAGGCGGCGGCCGCTTCCTGGTCTGCGCAACATGGCGGCACCGTTGGACACCATCTGGCGGCCGATGCGCATTCCACACAGTGTTGCCAGGTCTAGAGGTAAACCTCTAGATCTAGAGGTTTTAGGGGAGCGTTTCGGGGCTCCTGGAGGTTTTTGAAAAATGCCGGATTCTAGAGGGTTTTCTAGAGGTAATCTGAAAATCCCAGAAAAGACAATTAGCATCAAGGTCTCTTGAGAACTATTTAGGTACTTAATTTCATGTTATTATCTTCAAGTATTGCATGCTTAAACACACTTTTTTACAGATTGATGGAAACGATAAGCCTACTTTTGGCTTGTTCACTTCAGTTGGGCAAACTAGACTTTTGGAATCAAAATATGGAGGCATCAATAATTTGATTCTGGTGGGAGGAGCCATGACCAAATATGGGCATAGAATCAATTTTTTGATTCATTTGGGTACACTTTTGACTTCAAATGTATCGTTACGGTTGAAAAAAGGCCCATGACGGTGAGATTTTTGTTTAAAAAGGTAGAAAAATGTGGTAGGTTTGCAAAAAGTGTTACCTCAAAACTGAGAAATTGGGCCTGTTCCAGCGCCTCCAGAAACCTCCAGAAAGCTCCAGAAAGCTCTAGAAACCTCCAGAGAGCGTTCCAGCGCCTCCAGAAAGCTCCAGAACGCTCTCGCCAAAGCTCCAGAAACCTCCAGTAGCCTCCAGAGAGTTGGGAGGTCCAAATTTCTCTGGAGGCTCTGGTCTACAATTATGGCGCACATGTGACAATCACGAATGTAAACAAAGGACTTTTGACTGACTATTTTACAACTTGAATGTAAAGAAAATTACATTGCTATAATTTTGTTAATCTTTTTTAATAAAATTGAAAACAAATTTTGCGTTTCAAGAGAGAACAATCGTCATTCTTTTGGAATATGTGATGCCAATCTCCAGAAATCTCCAGATTGCGTTCCAGCGCCTCCAGTAAAACCTCTGGTAGAGCCTCCAGTCAAGAATTTCTACTGGAGGCGCTGGAACAGGCCCATTGTCCCTTTGGCCTTGTGAATGGGGAAAAGACAGAGGCACTGTCCATCACGTAAAAGCTGTTTTGAGGAAATCACACTGTATGTTATTTTTGTAACATGAATCGCATACTAAACAATCAGTATTTGTGTAAAATGGCAAAATGAAATTTTCAAACCCCTAATTATCATTGTTGTAGTGCTTTTGTATTTATTTAATGGTTTTTACCAATTGCTTCAGTTTTTGTATTCTTGACGTTTAAAAATTGTGAATTGTTATCAAATGTAGTGAAGGTAAAGTACAACAATGCTATAGGTATCTGTTGTGGTGCTGAGGATACCACTTAATGAGAATAATAGCAAGATAAATGCTGTATTCTTGCAAGTCATTGTTGCCTATCTCTTAACATTACCTGTGAATCAAAATAATGATTAGCCAGCTGATGAGGAATCAATATTATGATTATCTGTTTAAAGTGAATCAATTCCTTGATTGCCTTTCACTACCTATAGAATTCAAATTGTTATGATAGGAGCAATATTATTTTGCTTAGGAGATACTTCCAGCATTTCTGTTCAAGCTCAGGCATGCTCCTTCTTGAAACACTCTCTTATTTTTAAGTGTTTGGCAAGTTAGAAATGGTCTGCATTTATGCCCAAATATGGTCATAAGGAATCAATCTTTTGATGCCTCCATATTTTGATTCCAAAGGTCTAGTTTGCCCAACTGACTTGAGGCTCTGGCCGCCGGCTGCAGCTAAAAGTTCTCGATATACCTCGGGCACCAAGGCTATGTAAACCTGGTGCCCACGGTGGGCACCAAGTCCACCAAGTTATGTTATGTGGACAAATGCAAAGGCATGCGAAGGATGAGTGAATTATCTTGATTGGGGATACAACCGGGTGTTTCCAATCCCACTGCCAGCTGCTGCCAGCGCGCTGACGTCACACTTTGAGTCTGTTCCAGTCCCACTTCCTAACATATCTAAACTCCTCCAAGGGCAAGATAGAGGAGGTTGGAGCAGGGCCCTCCTTTGATTTGTAGGGGCTAGAGCAGTAGCGGCGTAACACCTTCGATTAAGGGGGGCACTGCCGACTTTTGGTCCCATTCTTTCCATGCAACGCCCATAGGGCTTATGTTAAAATGCCAAAATCAAAGGGGGGCACGGTGCCCCGGTGCCCTCCCCGTTCCACGCCTATGGGCTAGAGCTGACACTGGAACAGGGAAGCAATCTTGGAAGAGTTTAGAGGTGTTAGGAAGTGCGACTGGAGCAGACCCTTTGGTAGTGTTGGAGCAATGGGCTTGATGATGTCATCACGCGCTAGCAGCGGATGGCAGCGTGCTTTGAAACGGCGCCACGGTTTGTGATACGGAGGTAGGTATGGAGGTAGGTATATATACTTTATAATCAGCGGCAATGGAACAGAGGTTTCTAGAGGTTTTTACAACATTTTCTGGAGGTATTGGCATCACTCGACCTGGCAACACTGATTCCACATTATAGAGTTCAGTGATTGCAATTTGCAGCTGCTGATTGCATACATGATTGCGGTGAGTGGCAAATGTTTTTACAGTCAAACCAATTAACATTTTTAATCATCACAAATGTTACCTAAATGTTAAATGAAAAACAGCATGGTGATTGTGCTGAACTGCTGGTTTTGTAGCATTGAAAATGCTTTTTGTATTGAGGAGAAAACATTCCCCATTAATCCCCCATGTTGATGTCTCTCTAGCTTAGCTGCTCATCAGTTCAACTGGCCGTGGCCGCTATGGCCGCTTACTGCCCGAACCATGTATACAGAAATGAAAGCTTGAACCGATGCATTAACGGAAGCAAGGTAGTCCAATGCAGTTTACAGGTATTAATAACATCTCAAAATAATTTAATTGAAAATATTGAAATTGATTTTATGAAATCGAAATATTTTCACAGCATGTAGACTGCAGGTATTTTGTTCAGATAGGCAGGTGCTCACTTAAAAGCAGGGTATTAGTATATATTAGGTCCGAGTGGACAATTGTGATGCTGTTGATACAAATATGTAACAGCAAAAAATTTAGCTTTTAGGTTAGGTTAGGTTAGGTTAGGTTGTAGGTTTGTAGGTTTTAGGTTGGTAGGTTTGTAGGTTAGGTTAGGTTGTAGGTTGGTAGGTTGTAGGTAAATAGGTAAGGTTAGGTCAGGTTTGATTATGTTTTTTCTTTTATTTCCAGGACATATAAGTATTATTTTTGGATTCAGGACGTCAAATAATGTAAGAATATGAAAACTTTATCCTTTAACAGTCACTCGAGCTCAATGTATACTTTTACCAAAAGCAGATTTCGAATAGACTAATTCAAATTAAAATGAAATGTAAAGTGAAATTGCTTTTACCAGCCTGATTAGTCTATCTCAAGGCTATACAAACCCATTTGACTATTTGTGAGCCACATTTTCCATGTTGATGCTTTAGGTGGATCCATTCCTTATGAATGTGGTGCCTTGTTTGTATATGCATTTACAAATTAAGGCTTGTTTTGGCCTTGATGCTTACCTATTTTTTATGTTGGTACCTTATTTAACACAATATTTTACAAGCTTCAAATAAGCACATTTATAAGTACCTAGTTGTCTTATGGAGCATCATTTATGATGATACCATCTGTCTTACTCCAGCTAACTTGATATATAACAATATCTATGCATTGGTTTGGATTTATCTGTCTTTTTAATTTGAACAACAGCTGATGAACTTGATTCATATTTTTCAATTTTCATTTTTTCTTGATGTATTAAGATTCAAATCTGTCAATTTATTTATAACTCCATGATGCATCCAGTTTTTTGTTTGATTCTTTGTTGTGCTTTGCATGACTACTAGTTTTTGTTTTCCAGGGAACTTCAAAGGTATAATTCTGACAAGTGATGCATTCCATTGTTAAATCATTATGCAACTTTCATAGATTATCCAAACCTACTGGTAGATACATATACAAACAAATACAGAGACCATATTCATCAGAAGCAGTAGTCCAACAGCTCTTTGAAGGATTATGTGCAAAAGACAGAACCAGTTTAGCCAGAGCGATTACTCTGGTAGAGACAAGCAATGCCAAGAAAAGAAAGCTTGCTCAAAATCTGGTCTCAATGGTATCAGCAGACTTGCAAAAGGAGCAAGATAGAAATAAAGGCATACCATCATCATTTAGAATTGGTAAGTAATGCTTGACAGTTTTTGGCTTATTTGTTATCCCTCACCAAGCTTATCTGTGTGCCTTCAATATTGATTATGTTTCTTTGATCAGTGTTAACTGTGTCATGAGTGACCATTAAAACTGAGAACTATGTTATAAAAGAAACACCATTGACTTCCTGCAGGTTCAAGCAGTTTTAGCCATTTGAACATGGCACTTCCCTGATGTGATTTTTCTATCTTTATTTTACTCTTATTTGGAATGATAAGCATAACTGGCATGTTAAATCTTAAGACTTTGATGTGACCACTGACCACATCAACTCTTTCACACAATGTTTCAATGTGTAATGTCCATGTGGTGTGTCGTACAATACAGTAAACGAATTATCCCTGAAGACGTCACTATCCCACCCAGGTTTGTCGGGCCCTCCTGGCGCCGGCAAGTCGACGTTCATCGAGACGCTGGGGAAGCAGCTGACGGGCGCCGGTCACCGGGTGGCCGTCCTGGCCGTGGACCCGTCCTCCAACACCACTGGAGGTAACTGGTGGCCTCTCAGAGTTACAGCAGGCTGTCCTGAATGAGTTGCATTAGTTACGTCCGGTCACTCTTGTCATTGTGATTGGTTGTCATTGGTTACTTTGGGAATCATGAGGTTCGGTGAAAGAGTGCAATTGTGTTTACGGGAACGTCGGCCATTAACCTTTGCACACAGGTCAGGGGTGTTCGGAGCATGACAGAGGTCTATGGTTGGCCCAATATTCGCCTTAGAACAAAATTTTACTGAGCATGATCGCATTATTTTGAAAACGTCCACTCTTCCTTACATGTCGCGTGTGCCAGAACCCTTTTCGGTCGAGTAGCGTAGCTCGTCTGTCTGCGCCGTGCTGTAACGCTCTCCGTTCCCCTGCAGGCTCGCTGCTGGGCGACAAGACGCGGATGCCGCGACTGACGGTGGACCCGGCCGCGTACATCCGCCCGTCGCCCACCGGCGGACACCTCGGCGGCGTCACCCGCGTCACAAACGACACCATCCTGCTCTGCGAGAGAGCGGCCTATGACGTCATCATTGTCGAAACGGTCGGTGAGTTCTGCGAGTGGGGAGGGAAGTGCTCTTCCGAAATGTGTCAGCACGCCCAACTTTGCCTTCTAAACTGAATTTTCCGATCGGACGGTGGATGTGGTGTGCGCACCAAGCTTTGCTCAGTATGGGGTCTGGCTCTATCGATCCCTCCATTCAAAATGTCCGAACTAGATTGATAAACAAGAACCATTTGTCAGCATATCTTTTCCAAAAACAGGAGCAAACGCTGATTTCTGCTCTAAGCTCTACGTCTGCCCGTTCGTTCTGAGCGTTTATCTGCCGTGCGCTGACGGCTGTTGTCTAACCATTGGCCTATGATGCTATGACTGCTGACCATATATCTCTTATGACAGGTGTGGGCCAATCGGAGATCAGCGTCTCTGAAATGGTGGACGTGTTCCTGCTGTTGATGCCGCCGGCCGGAGGGGACGAACTTCAGGTAACGCCCCTCTCTCCCCCTCTCTTCCCCCACAAAACACATTCTCTTCCATGATCCGATTCGCTCGTTTAGTTACTGGGCGATGTGTCTGTCGTATGTCCTGCTCAAACACCGTCTCCCTCCTCTGCTGCAGGGCTTGAAGCGCGGTATCGTCGAGCTGGCTGACGTGATCGCCATCAATAAGAGTGACGGCGACCTGGTGCCGGCGGCGCGGCGGATCCAGGCTGAGTACCTGTCGGCGCTCAAGTTCGTGCGTCCGCGGCTGGCCGGCTGGCGGGTGCCGGTGCTCCGCTGTTCGGCGCGCACCGGCGACGGCATGACCGAGCTGTGGCAGACTCTGACCGCCTTCCGGGAACGGATGACGGCCGACGGCCAGCTGGCGGCCCGGCGGCGCCGGCAGCGCGCCGTCTGGCTGTGGTCGCAGATCGAGCGCGCCGTGGTGGACGCGTTCCGACGCCACCCGGCCGTGCGCAGTCGGCTGCCCAGACTGGAGCGGGAGGTGGCCACCGGTCGACTGCCGCCCGGGGTAGCCGCCGACCGGCTAGTGCAGCTGTTCCTCGAGGGCAGTGGGAGGGGTGGGGAGAGGAGGGCAGAGGAGCGGAGTCGGACGGGACACAGCGGGGAGGGCGTTCCTAGGTGACGAGTCTGCCGGTGTGGATAGGTCAGTTCCGTTGGCTGTATGTAGTGACCTGGCAATCACGATCTTTATGAATGGGCAGTTGGGATTGGGCCGGTGCGCTAAGTGGTCTTCCTCAGGGATCAACCTGCGAGTATCCGGGAACGCTGCCGACTCGCCTGATCGCTGTAAAATAGCCGGTCCCCGCAGTCAGTCTTCACCAGTCGACAACGCACTATGTAGGACTGCAGCAGTGTACGACCTCCAACCAGCCATCTAGAATGATGTACTCTAGAGACCTCGTACGAAGTATTGTGTCCAGAGTCTAGCGAGGTCCGATTCTTTGCCTATTTATAGCCGATATATCGAATCTTCCTGTCCGTATTCTACAAGTATAATGGCTGGACAAAGACCGTGTGATGTTCAAAATATGGCCTACAGTGGTTTGCGACATTGTCAAGTGTCAACGTTACATAGACAATGCTCGCTCTCTGCCTTGTATAAGTTTTGGTATAGGCCATTGGTTGTGACTTGCGTGCATATTGTCAGGTCCGTGTGGCGACGTCACGTTCGTTGTTGTGCAATGCCTGCATTGGTTATTATTAACCAGAGCTGAGTGCTGAGTCGCTAATGAATGGTGCTTGAGATGGGTTCAGTGCAATATGACATCAGTCGAATGTTAGGTCCAAATGTGCGTGGTATATTTCATACCATTTTCTCGCAACCGTGAGAAGAGAATATATCTATATTAAATAGAATTATTGTATCGATTTGCTTCAATTGTCGAGCCGCACTCAACTGCACCGTATTATTTTGATTTCCCACGCGCCCCGGAGGATGCGCGAACAACCCTACTGTTAACGCCAGACCCCTTGAGACCCTAATTTTTCGCGATTACTTTTAAATGCGTGAAGGAATTTCAACCAAGCTCAGGACATGGCCGTTTCAAGACAGGCCGAAACTTTTACAATTTAGATATTTTATCGCCATTTCAATATTTCAGGCACTTGTCATTGACTCGTAATGTTAACTGTTTTTCCATCCTGGATAGAGGCTTTCTACGTCATATGACATTAGGCTCCGCCCACGACTGCGGCATTGACCCGTGCCCATCAGCGACCTCTGTACAAACGACACCCCTGCCATCTGTGAAGGACTATGAATTTCGCTGACGCTTCACGTGCTATGAGTCAATTGCAGCAGACGGTCAAGTAAATGTTAGGCTCTTGTTCAACTCTTGTTGACTCTTGTATATAGGACCAAGAGGACCATCACTCCTCAACCTACTACTCAGTCGTGCTTCGAACAAACGTTAACGATTCCTAACAAATACGATTTTCGATGTAGGGTATCTGTTTGAAATACGAGCGAGCCGTATGATGTGAAGCTCAGGCAATTAACTTATTATTGCGTTGTTCGATGGTTGCATAGCGATGTACAAATCGGCAGCTACTTGGTGACATCCGACATCCCATTATCGCATTATCTGCAACGCCATAGGCTTTAAATACAGGTGAATATTTCCTAACCTTATGTCAGTTATATGCCATCTGCCCGTCATTTGCAGCTTATAAAAAAAATATATATATCAGCGAACATATCAGCATTGTAGAAGCAATGCGCATTGAGCATTTATGGCTCCTTAGTCATCATGTCGCTCTCTGGGCACTGTCAGCCAAGACGCTACGCACAACTCCGCCGGCTTTCGGCACCCCTCGACCGTCGCCCGTCCCCGCTCCCCGCCACAGCGAGAGTGACCGCGCGCCGGCCCGAAACCGCCGCAGGCCAAGACCACAGAGGCGGGGCTTAGCTGTGACGTCATAACGTATCACAGACTGACTGGTGATAGCCTCTACACACCGGATGAAAATCTTGCTCGAAATTTAACATTACGAGTCAATGACAATTGACAAGTGCCTGAAATATTGAAATGGCGATAAAATATCTAAATTGTAAAAGTTTCGGCCTGTCTTGAAACGGCCATGTCCTGAGCTTGGTTGAAATTCCTTCACGCATTTAAAAGTAATCGCGAAAAATTAGGGTCTCAAGGGGTCTGGCGTTAACAGTAGTTCAGCTAATGCGACTCAGACGCCGTATAACATGTAGCGCCAAGTAACATTCAAACGTGTTGTGGTAATGTTGTGTTCGACCTGCTGGGGACTGACAGTGGGACGATACACCCCACAGTTCTGTCTGGGTGCACCGGTGCACCGCCCAGGGCGGTAGGTGACCCGGGACGGGGTCGGCCGCCGGACGGCTCCGGTCATTGCTCGGGGTTACATGAGCAGAGTTAATACGCATTACAAACGGACTACAATGGTGAGCGAATAGGAAAATCCGTTCCTGATACGCATTTACTTGCTCATGTAACCCCGGTAATAGACCTGTGACCTGCGCGGGGTTAGGACGGGAGGCTGTGCTGGATCTGTTACGGATCAGTGAGTGCGGTGCTCGCGGACGTGGTGGGTTGACTTTGGACGCGGCCTGATCGACTTCTGGGATCAACCGCATCGATCTGCTGCCGTTCACCACATCTGCAGGCAGTGTCCCAAAATATTTCTATTTGGGTGGGAAACGACATCCAAATCAAATATCATTTTCCACTCTCATCTCTAATATCTAAGAGCAATTTTCCACTCCCAGCCTTACCAATTACGAGAATAAGCATTTGCATTGGTCATTTTACATATTAGGTACATTTTACTTCATTATATAGAAATGTATGCCGTTGATCTGTTTTCCACGCATTTTGGGCCTTATCTGACTGGGGAATTTTCCACTCTTATCCCCCTTTTTGGAGAGGAATTTTCCCTCTGACACCCAAGCCAAAACACAATTTTGGGACACTGTCTGCAGGTAAGTCCAGGTACCCACCTCTGCTGAAAGACTCAATGCTGTTGGGGAAGTGCTTGCGGGGTCTTACTTTAGATATTAGAGGTATCTTTATCGATCAGGCATGTGGTAAGGATATTACCGTTCTTCCGCTACTAACGGACAGGGGGTCAATCAGTAACAAAGATTGAGCTCGCGCATTCCAGACCATCAACTTCGCATTCCACATGAGTTCACTGGCGTGGACTGAGAATATGAACTCATATCGAGTGGTTCATGCCTTTCTACTTAATTATTTCAACGGGGAAACAGTGCAAGGTCCAACGCAAAGATGTTTGATAATTGACAATTTTAGTCCTCAAATCTCAGGATTCAAACACCCCTTCCCACCAGATTGGGGCATGAACCAGATATCCAACCGGCAGCCTGTGTCACGAACCAGCGGGTTGAGTTGACGAGTTTCGGACAATCAGGCAGTCATTATTTGTCAAAGCGCCGACAGGTGTATTGATGAAATATGATAACACGCAAGGACAGCCGCGAAAATATCTCAAAACGCCGTCTTAGATGGATCAAACCCCTCAGGCACGAGCATCAGATGCAAAACATTGTACAGCGTGATCGGACGATCGGTTGAAAGCACCCCTGCTAATAGCGTCTCATGCAGAAAAGTAAAAACTTAACCACGCTAGCGCTTGGCCGCAGAAACCTGCCAGCCTTCAATGAATCGCTACGAGCAACTACGTTTGGACCTATCATGATTGTCTCTGTTGGCCTCTCTCGAACCGGCCGGCCTGCCGGGATATTATGCTGAGGCGGTGCAGACAGCCCGCCGGCAGGGACCAACACCGCCAGCCGCACTGGCGCCTGAGCGACCGTACCTCTGCCCTTCACTCCGGCCAGGCGAAACCATCGTGTCACATCAGGCACAGGGAAGAGATTTACACAAAGGCTCCGGCTCTGACGGATTCCCGGTCACGACACGGTGGTACAAAGCGAAAACAGTGTCCTCTGGCACTTGACCCGCTCAGTTGGCTGGGCCGGCGCGTCACCCTCAGACCCGGGTACGACCTCCGCACACCCGGTCCGCCCGGCTCCTTACGTCTAATATGGCATCAGCTTTGTCACTTGTTCCCCGACCTCTCCGGCGTCGCCGCTGAATCTGCATGGGCGGCTGTTTTCTCTCCGCCCTCTCATGCAGTCAGATTGTCCTCTTGCCGTACCGCAGCGGGCCGTCACTCGGCAGGTAGTCCGCCGATTACGAAAGGTCGGCCGGCACTCACGACACGCTCGAGATGGCGTTGTGCGGCGATCCCATCTGTGTAAGCACCTTGTCCAGCCACTGCAGCGGGCCGTGCAGGTGGATCTCGATCCAGCAGGGTGTCGAGGTGACGTCCTGACGGTGGTACTCGGCGCCCCAGCCCTTCACGAACGACATCCTGTCGGAACAACGGCGGAGAAGGTGTGATAGAGTACGCAGAATGTACGCAAAACGGAAACGCGCCTTAAAGAGGTTTTGAAAAGCCTCCGTTCGAAATATCTACCGCGGTGCAAAAGAGAAGCAAAATCGATACGTAAAATAATAAAGACCCGAACGTCGTCATCGACCAGAAACCTGGCATACAAGGCACAAGCAAACTGCGTTCTTCATCCAACTTGAGAACAAGTTACCAACTTCATCCAACTTGAGAACAACCAAAACACATCATTATCTCAAATATCCAAAACACATATTTGACACGGCATGCCCCTACCATGCATCATTCAAGCTGACAGAAAGTCAACCCCATATTACAACCATTACAGCTGCATGACCCACCTGATGGTGCACATTTTGGTGAGCTCAAAGATGGCCTCGTAGCCGTGGTTGACGCTCTGTGAGAGCAGCTGCGCGAACTCCTGGTTGTTGAAGATCTTGAGGCTGCAGCCGGCCGGTATTTTACAGACTGTGGAGGGGTGGAAGCCGTGGTGGTGGTTGCAGTTGCGCGACTGCACGAACACGGCCGAGTCCGAGAGACACTCGGCGTACACCTCGCCGCCCACGTAGTACAGGTGCACACCTGACGGCCCGCAGAGAAAAGGTGTCAGCGCACGTGCATTCCCGATGAAAAGGTGTGGGACGGGTACACGTCGTGCAGCCGGAGGAAGGTACTGGACTCCACCAACTGACACTAAAGATATTCTCCGATGTTGCACTTAGTTCAATTTCTGCCACCATTCATCCGCATCTAGTACAAGCTATAGAAGTATCTCATCATCGAAGCTCATCTTTCCCGATGCAATTACCAGTGCTCTCGAATCTCACCTTTTCCGATGTGTTTGCGGGTGCTCTCGATGGTCGAGTTGCGGTTAACGTTGGACAGCTGACCCAGGCAGAAGCGGTCCGACTTGTTGTTGGGGTCGGTGAAGCCGTCGACGATGACTGAAGTCACGGAGGAGTGGAATACCTCGCCCACGCGGTTGTTGAGCTCGTAGTAGGCGATGCTGGACCAAAACTTGGGCTCCTGAGGACCAAGAACAATGTCGAATAACAATAAGGACACGGTGTTGAGGGCGCGAGTACACTACCAGTGGAATGACAGCTGATGGTATATAATGTTTGTTGAGGTACCTATTTAAAGCTAGTTTCTTAGTGAAATGTGCAGAAATTGAGCCGCACGCTTTATCTTTTATCGTTTCTTGTGATTAGATTCGCAAAAGTGTTTGCTGGATCCAATGCGCTGTGGCCTGATTCGGAACCGTACCGTCAATGAACAATGGACTGAATGCAATACCGCCAACGCAGAACGATCGTCTCTTCACTTTCCGCGGCTCATGACGGTCCTAGAGAGAATGTAACATTCAAAGGACAAATATTTACAGGCCTTCCTCAAACTTGCCATCAATAAATTCTGGCGCGTTTCATGGAACAATAAGCCGGCATGCCTTCCACAAAATGGATCATGTTTATTAGATAACGCTAATGACTTCTCCTGGCATTGGTCAGCATTGAGCTGCCCTAGTGGCCCCATTTTGTTGCCCTGGGTCTGTTTTTCGCATCACCAAGGCGTCCGCCGGGCGTGGGAAGGTATTCCGACGGCTTCCCAATGCTGCCGACCACCTTCCAATGGCAATGCGGCCCACCCCACATTCAGAGCGCTGACTGATGCATCATGAATGGCTGACGCATGATCGGCCGCTCGGATAATTGACCTCCGGCGGTTCGGAAGCAATCAATGGCAGGTGAGGTCCTGACGACGGCCACCCACAACAGTGGCAAACACTACCCATCCAGCCTCTGGCATTTACCGTACAGGGAGTTCTGAACAACAAGTACATCTAGGACACCCAAGAAACCGTGTCAGAGACTGTATCGAGGTTCCTCAGGGAAGAACCATTGTGGGCACCTCAGAAGCAGACAGGGGCTCGGCTGGGTCACATTATCGGCCCTACGCGAGCTGTCCCTCCACACACATCCCTGCACACCTTGAAGAACTCCACTTCAACGTGTGCCCAAGACAGCTATAATGCGTGAAGTTATCTCCGTGCATGTCGGCCAGGCCGGTGTCCAGATGGGCAACGCCTGCTGGGAGCTCTACTGCCTCGAGCACGGCATCCAGCCCGACGGTCAGATGCCCTCAGACACCAGCGTTGGCGTCGCCGACGACAGTTTCAACACGTTCTTCTCGGAGACGGGCACGGGCAAGCACGTGCCGCGCGCCATGTTCGTGGACCTGGAGCCGACGGTGGTGGACGAGGTGCGCACGGGCACCTACCGGCAGCTGTTCCACCCGGCGCAGCTGCAGACCGGCAAGGAGGACGCCGCCAACAACTACGCGCGCGGCCACTACACCATCGGCAAGGAGATGATTGACGCCACCCTCGAGCAGATCCGCAGGATGACCGAACAGTGCACCGGCCTGCAGGGGTTCCTGGTGTTTCACTCGTTCGTTGGCGGCACCGGCTCCGGCTTCACGGCTCAGCTTATGGAGCGACTCAGCATCGACTACGGTAAGAAGTCCAAGCTGAGTTTCTCCATCTACCCGGCTCCAGAGGTGTCCACGGCCGTTGTCGAGCCGTACAACGCCGTGCTCTTCACCCACACGACGCTGGAGCACACTGACGTTGAGTTCATGGTCGACAACCAGGCCATCTACGACTTGTGCAAGAAGAACCTGGACATCGAGCGCCCGACGTACACCAACCTGAACCGGCTGATTGGCCAGATCGTCTCCTCCATCACGGCCTCGCTGCGCTTCGAAGGCGCCCTCAACGTCGACCTTAACGAGTTTGAGACCAACCTGGTACCGTACCCTCGGATTCACTTCCCACTGGTCACCTACGCTCCGGTCATCTCGGCCGAGAAGGCGATGCACGAAACCCTGTCAGTTGCCGAGATCACCAATGCCTGCTTCGAGCCAACCAACCAGATGGTCAAGTGCGACCCGCGCGAGGGCAAGTACATGGCCTGCTGCCTGCTCTACCGTGGCGACGTCGTCCCGAAAGACGTCAACGCCGCCATCGCCAGCCTGAAGGCCAAGCGAAGCATCGAATTCGTCGACTGGTGTCCGACTGGCTTCAAGGTAGGAGTCAACTACCAGCCGCCGACCGTGGTGCCCGGCGGCGACCTGGCCAAGGTGGAACGCGCCATTTGCATGCTGGCTAACACGACGGCCATCAGCTCCGCCTGGGGGCGACTCAACCACAAGTTCGACCTGATGTTCGCCAAGCGCGCCTTCGTGCACTGGTACGTCGGCGAAGGCATGGAGGAGGGTGAGTTCGCCGAGTCGCGCGAGGACCTGGCCGCCCTGGAGAAGGACTATGAGGAGGTGGAGGCCAGCGGAGAGGACGATGCCGAGGAAGAGGACGAGTATTAGACACTCCCGGTCTTTTGAACTCGAGCCACACATCATGAAGGGGAGACCGACTTCATCTTACCTCAATGTCTCGTTTCTTCACGCTACAGAGCACAAAACGCAAATTTACAAGTGCTTGGAAGAATTTATAGGCACATTGTCATGGTAGTCTTGGAGCGGGTGTACGGCACAACATAATCCAAGTATTGGTGCAAGAGGATTGTGGTACAAGAGGCCTCCGGTTGACGTTGGGACAGCTGACCAAGGAGAGAGTGGTTCGAATTGTTGGGGTCGGTGAAACCGTCGACGATAACTGAAGTCACAGGGGAGCGGAATACCTCGCCCACGCAGGTTTTCAGCTCGTAATAGGCGTTGCTGGACCAAAACTTGGGCTCCTGAGAAATAACGGAAAAACTCGATATTTGACATGCAATTACACTACCCGTTCCAGGCAGCTATTGAAACATAGCGTTTGCAGTTTTGTGAGACGATGTTTGAGCGTCGCACAGGAAGAGAAGCACCCCTTTGTATCTATCTCTTCTTGTTCTGGGCAGGACTGTGTTGGCTGGGCCCAATGTATCATGATCAGATTCGCCACCATCAATGAGCAATGTACTGAATACAATACCAACAGTGTAGAACAATTTTGTCCCTTCGTTTTCCGCGATTCTATGATGCTTCTAGAAAAAGGTGACATTTACAGGTCAATTGAACTGAATCCCTTTCCCCAAGGGTCATCAATAAATGCTGACCCGTTACATGGAACAATTAGCCGGCAAGTCTCCCACAAAATGGATCATGTTTATCATATAAAGCTAATGACTTCTCCTGGCATTGATCAGCATTGACTATGCCAGTCGCCTTGAGACCCTGGGCTCGTTTTCCGCATCACCATGGTGTCCATCCCGCGTGGAAAAGTAGTCCGGCGGTTTCCGAATGCTGCCGGGCACCGGCCCCCCTCCAATACCGCTGCCTATCCCCCCCCCACGCATAGCGCTGGTGGGCTCTGATGCATCATGCATCGCTGACGCATGATCAGCCGCTCGGATAATTGACGTCCGAAGGTTCGGAAGCAATCAATGACGGATGAGGTCCTGACAACGGCCGCCCACAACAGTGGTGAAGTCTCCATCCAGCCTCTGGCATTTACCGTGCAGGGAGTACTGGGCGACGAATACATCTAGAAGGCTCGAAACACCATGCCAGAGACTGTATCGGAGGTTCCATAGGGAGGAGCCACTTTGAGTACCTCAGAAGCTGATAGGGGCTCGGCTGGGTCACATTATCGGCCCTACGCGAGCTGTCCCTTCCCGTCTCAGCAGACCTTGAAGAAGTCTTCTTCAACATGTGCCCATACCACTTTTGATGATAATCATATAAACATTTTTCCGATTCATTTACCGCCTGCTTTACCGCGGAGACGTTGTACCGAACGCCAACAGTGCTATTCCGAGTGTTACAATAGTAGCACCCTTAATGAGACGAATACATACTACTCACGCATAACAGCATACAAATGAATTGTCACCAGCTCCAATATATCTATCATCAAATTAGATTGTACTCTACTCCATCACTGGATCCTCATAAGCCTACGGTCACCGGCCGTCCCTAGTGTCCACTGACCTGGAATGTGATGGCCTGCATGTCAGACGTATCCGCCATCGGCGGCGGCGGCGCCGAGGATGTGTCCATGCGACTGGAGGCGCCGTCCGCGCCGGCCCCGTTCTCGTCCAGCTGTGTGTAGGCCGGCGGCGGCGTGCCGGCGGGCGCCGTGTACGGCGGCGACTGCGGCCCGCCCGAGCTCACAGAGCCCGGCGAGGCCACAGAGGAGATGGACGACAGCGGCGAGGGCGCGCCGTGCGGCGGAGACGCCGAGCCCGGCCCGGGCCCGAAGCCGACGCCGCCGCCGGTCGGCCCGCCGGCGCCGAAGCTGACGTTGTGCGGCATGGAGGGCTCCTGCAGCTGCGACGGCGGCTGGAAGTGCAGCAGAGAGTGGCCCGGCGCGAACTCGTTGTGGCGCGGCACCAGCACCGGCGGCAGCACTGCGGCGACACGGGGGTTATCAGAAAAGGGGTCAGATGGTACGAGTGAGAGGAGACGACATGCAGGCTGTAGAAATTTTAGAAAGAAAACCTCAATTGCGCAGAATACAAATGTAATCAAACTACAGTTACTACAAACTACAGTGTAGTTAGAAATGTTGGAGTTAGGAAGAATTATAACATAAAGTCGCATTCCATTGGCATTAACTGCGGAACATGCCTCCTATAAGGAGTTTCAATCAGCTAGCACACCAAAACCACCTGTACCTCCAAAAAATCGCGAAGCACGAAATTGTCTCACCTGGACTTTCCACTCGCTTGTAGTGGTACGGATTGATGCAGACATCTTTCTGCTTGGCAGAGAAGGGGTAGTCGCAGTCCTCGACGGGTTTGAGCTCGTGGTGCGACTGGAGATCTGGCCAGCGCCACACGCGGCAGTAGATGACGTGCGGCAGGCCCTTGCGGTGCGAGACCTGGAGTGACACGCATGGAAAACCGTGAAACATGAGACACGCGGTGCTGGGCCATCATCAGTCATTGAATCTACTCTTTGCTAAATGTGCAGTGCAGGGAGTGCACCGTCATACATTCATGTCACAATAAAAATGTAAAAGTAAAATCTTGCAATCCCCACCTCTTGAGCCAGTGAATAGCCTAAAAAAACATTCCGATAATTGCATCTTCCTTCTATCATGCATTTGATGGGGGCAAATGAAGCTCACAGGTTCACATGAAAACATCCATAACTTTTAGACTTAACACATTTTAGACAGCTAACAGCATTTAGCAAGGTGGCAGATCACAGCAATATAAGAATCCATCGGAGGTGCGTCCCCACCTGAAGGCGGCCGTCCAGGCTGCGTGGAATGGTGACACACTTTGTACGTTGGCCTGGACAGCTGAGTGCATTCTCCAGATCTTCCAAGGCACCCTTGGTCTTCTTCAGCTTCTTGACAAGTGCATCCACTGCTTTTTCTGCCCACTTTTCCTCCTCATCACCCTGTTTCCAGCCCAGCAGCTTCTTCACTGCTGGGCTTGTAAATGTGAACAGGCTGTTGAGGCCGGACATGCTACGTCGGTGTTGCCCAGCTAGAATTCACCTGAAATAAAGTGGTTGCATAAGTGTTGAGACTAAGCATAAACATTGAGTTTCCTACTGTGCTGTGCCCAGCAGCAGCACACTTAGGTAACTTATAACTATGACTTCCGCCTCCCGCACAGTTGCATGTAAAATTCGCACAACATTAGGTACAGTAAAACGGGGTGTTAAGGGACAGTGGGGTGATAAGGGACAGTTGCGTGGGAAAAACTTTGAGTCATATCAAGTTCCTAATTTGAGAAAGTTAAATAAAAATTAAGTGTGGTAGTTGACACTATTTTGCTATTAACTATAGGACAAAATGACATGGTTTTTCATGCAAGTAATTTGGTTCAAAAATGGTTTTGAAAATCATGCTACATTTTCACAAAATTGAAACATCTCCAAAACTCTGTGTGTACCACATAAACTATAGGTGTACAGGGAAAATGAATGCATATGTGTATTGTCACATGTATTGAACATGTTTCCTGAAAAACTTATCCAAATCCATCCATTCATTCATCATCCTCTTCCTCTTTTCCGGACACACACATGCATATTTTGAGGTGGATGTGGGGTGCTAAGGGCAAGCGAAGAAAAAATAAAAAATAATATATAAATATAATTTCATAAAGTTTTCTTTCAGTGGGCATGGAAAACACCAAATTCCACATAAAATGCTGGCAAGTTCATGCTGTTATCTCTAACACATCTTAAGTTCAGACTGGTGTGTTTGATTCATCTGTGATTGAATCAATTGGATTGAATCAAACAAAATTTGTTGAATCAAAAAGGTTTGATTCACCGTCAGGATTGTTTGATTCACAAGCCATGATTGAATCAAACGCATTGGGAATCAGGGTTGATTGAATCCAAAAAAGTTAATATTGATTCATGAACTTGAAAAAAAATTGAAGTGAACGAACATAGTTCATTATCAACAAATATTAACACTACTGCCATTACATGACAACAAAAAGAACACAACAAATACAATACTATCCCTGATATTTTGTATATTTTATTTTTAAATTGAATAAAAAAAGAATCATTCAATAAAAAATGGCTGAATCAAACGTGAATCATTCCTTTCATTGTTTTTTGATTCTCTGAATCAAAAGTAATCGATTCATCAATTTTTTTAAGGAATCAAACGGTGATTGAATCAAACAAAAATCAAATGAATCAATGATTGAATCGATCCCAAAAAAGGTGAATCAAAAACTAGTCTGCTTAAGTTATAACAAAACACCTCAAAACTCCCTAACCACTCTCTTTTACAATGATGGGTCAATGAAGACTGATGTAGGACTGGTGATGTCATCATAAAAAGACCAAAACAAAGAGGGCAACATAATAGCAAGTGACTAGCTTCAAAATGGGTTTTGTTGATGACAGGAGGGTACTTTTTGGTTCTGTGTACCTTATAACTAGCATATTTTCTAGAAGCGTAAACTGCATTGCATGTAATTGGCTAAAAGGGCCATTAGTGTTGAATGAACCCGACTTGTTTTCTGACAGAATATGAAAAACATTTCAATAAATAAATTGTGTGCCCTTTCACACCCCAATTGTGGGCATTTGACACTGGCGGATCCAGGGGGGGGGGCATTTAGGGCCATGGCCCCCCCCCCCAAAGGCCTAAAGTGGCCTGTTTGCCCCCCCCCCAAAAAAAAAACGTCAGAAAAATTGCTAAGAAAATATAAAAAGCTGCGCGAGTGGAGTCGACCTTCAAAAAAAGACTGTTGTTGGCACGTGTTTATGGCGCGGCAGCTGGCAGTTGGCGGTGTTTCGCGTGGTGTGGCATCACTGGCGGATCCAGGGGGGGGGGCACGGGAGCCTGAGGTGCCGCTGACAGGCCCGTGGTGCCCTTGCTAGGTCTGTGGTGCCCCTGGACCCTGGCAGGCCTGTGGTGCCTCTGGCGGGCCTAGGGTGCCCCTGCTAGGCTGCTGATGCCCCTGGGACCTGACAGGACTGTGGTGCCCCTGACAAGCCTAAAGTGCCCTCAACAGGCCCGTGATGCCCCCGACAGGCCCTAGGTGCCCCTGCGTGATGCCGTGATGCCTCCGAGGCCGGTGGTGCCCCTGCGAGGCCGGTGGGGCCCCTGACGGGCCCATGGTGCCCCTGCTAGGCCGCTGGTGCCCCTGGGCCCTGACAGGACTGTGGTGCCCCTGACAGGCCCAAGGTGCCCCTGCAAGGCCGGTGGTGCCCCTGTAAGGCCTGTGGTACCCCTGCTAGGCCTCTGGTGCCCCTGACAGTTCCATGGTGCCCCTGCGAGGCCGGTGGTGCCCCTGGCAGGTCTCTAGTGTCCCTGACAGACCTGGGGTGCCCCTGACAAGCCTGTGGGCCCCTCACAGGCCCGTGGTGCCCTTGCTAGGCCTGTAGTGCCCCTGGCGGGCTGGTGGTGCCCCTGCTAGGCCGGTGGTGCCCCTGACAGGCCTGTGGTGCCCCCGGGCACCAAGGGGGGTCATGACCCATGTGGCCCCCCTTGGATCTGCCACTGATACATAATATATTGATTTGTAAAGGCGTTATGGCTTATGCAATATGTAATTGCAGGCACTTGGTATCCCTCACTTATCCCTCATTGGGGGCTCTGGCGGGCTCCTGAGGGCCCATGTCTATCTCCGGGAGCCCTAGACATAGTCACCGTGCCCTAGACGGGCTCCTTTTGGTCCTTTCAGTCCACTATAGCATAAGAGGTCTCCACGCGAGTCCTATACATCTGAGGGCGTACCCTGACGTCTGAGGTACCCAACTGCAGCTCCAATGGTCTCTTACACTGGCGGATCCAGGGAGGGGGCATTTAGGGCCATGCCCCCTTCCCAGAGGCCTAAAGTGGCCCATTTGCCCCCTCCCCCAAACGATAATGAATCATAGTTCAATCAGTGCGTGGCCCAGGAGCCGAGTTAGACAGGGGGTGTTTTACCACCTCCCGGCCTGCAAAGGGACCCAAGCACTGACTCGAAGCGGGTTAACTGGTCGACAAAAGCAATGGTAAGTGTTTACAAAGTAATATAAAGGCATGGGTCGGGTGGGCTACCATTTATATCTTTTTCTTTTTAGTTAAAAAAAAAATATTCATAGTGTCAGGGCTGTGAAGAAAAATAAGTGGCCTAAATCCAATGAGAAAACAGGATTTGGGGGTACCCTAGGTTTGGCTCCTGCATGAGTTGGCCCCCCCCCAAAACGCAAGCCTGGATCCGCCAGTGGCATTTGATGACCATTTCTTGGAATAATATAGGTGTCCCTTAACACCCCACATTGGGGTGCTAAGGGACAGTAATGAAAGATAATAAAAAGTAATATGCAGGTATATATTTTTAAAACTTTAATGTATCAGGCATGTAAAGCACCAAATTACACATAAAATGAGGACAATTTGATGCTTCTACCTCCAACTCTTCTTGAGTTATATAACAAAACACCTCAAAGGCTCAAAACTGTCCCTTAACACCCCATTTTACGGTACCTACTCATCCATTGATTGCATCCAATCCAAGATGAGATTGCCATGCAAGTCACCGAAAATGTGCCTTTTCTGACCGAGACAGATCCTGAGTGACGTCACCCCTGATGCTCGCCAGGGGTACTCCATTCCTTTACAACGTAAAAATGACGAACTTCATTTGAAGATTATTGATGGCACTCTACACATACCTCTCCATCAATGTCCAATGATGTCAATGGAAAGCCCCACTCATTTTCTAGCAACAAAAAAGAGAAGCAACATGCTAAGAAATGGCCGGTTTTGGATACTATACTAACATCTACTTAGAATTTGCTTGGAATTGGAATGGGACGATTGTATGTAACCCCAAATCTTTTCATTTTCATGATCGATTCTTGCAATAGATGTTTTAACATGCTTGTGCTTTAAACAGTATTCGTTACAACGAAACCGAAAGTTGAACTAAATCGTATGAAATCAAGCGCACCTACCTATATTTTTTAATCCATAACAATAAACGCTTTGCCCATAGTATAAACGCTAAGCGCACGCAAAGCAAACACACAGGAACAAATAACTTAGGCGTAAATTGCGCAGCTGAGCCTATCTTGGCTGAGCCAAGGTTCATAGAGATGCTTTCACTAAATAAAAAAACTAGCGCTGCATATAACTACGAGCAGACTACGAGTGCCTTCACTCATAATTCATACCAACAATTCGAATTGGAATGTACTGATATCGGCAAAACCTTTCTGACCTTAACCAAGACCATCTCCTGACATTTGAATTTTGAAATTCATGTCTTAAGTTTCAGTTTTCTGTGCCATTATGGCCAGTCTCCGTTCTCGGTGGTACTGAGTTTACGGCCGGAGAGCTACCCAAATGCTGAAAATTTTCCGTATACTCCGGCGCTAAACACGGGAGACCACGCTGTCATCTGCCAGCGGCACGTCAAACTGTCGATTGGATGATGTCAAAATCATCACCTAGCTACCGGTGAACCGGGAGCAGGCAAAGTCGGGTAGTGAGACCGTGGCGTCAATCCAAGTGTCAACCATTGGCCCATTTGTAATAGGCGTTGCGTAGCGACGTAACCCGGAGCCACGGTATAGAGAACTCCCGGAGCCACGGCCACCAATTTCACCCATCAAACAAAATTTCTTTTTAAAAAATCTTGCGTGAACTGAACTAACCAGTAACCGGATCCGACTGCAATGACTGGTGCCCAGGTACCGGGATTTGTAATTCTTGTTTATGCTCAAGACCCAAGGACCCTGCATTCGAAATATGGAAGGACTTGCAAGATTCATACTTTCAAGTTTCAAGTCATGAAACCGGATTCAATTGCCCACCCAGATACATTGCACGATAACGTTTCTTGGATTCTCTTATCTCAGATTCTTTTATTCTCGAATCCTTTTTAATCACCGTAGAGCCAGTTTTCACGTAAGTCACTCTACTCACACCACGTATATTCAACGCCTCCGAATGGGCCCAGCTCTCACAGGAAACCATAAATAAAAGCATACACAACGAATGAGTGGCTGGTGAGAAAAATGTCCAAGTGCGATAGCGTGTTAGAGACACCTCACATGTGACCAAAAGTCACAAGCCCAAGAGCGTTTGTACAAAGAAAATCGTAAGGAGCGTCACGTACGAAAGATGATATCTCCTAAGCCGAAGTAGGATTTGATCGGGGTGGGTAGACACGCGGAGTATGCTGCGGCTGGCAAGAGGCAGCTGGCAAGACCAAACATCCTTCAGCAGTCGTCAGCCACCAACACAACACACAGGCACTAATTACCAAAGCTCGGGCTTGCACTCAACGCCGAAATTATGTCAGGAATTATAGATGGCAACCACACTTTCTTGAAGCTCAGGTTAACGCCGAAATTGTCAGGAATAGAATGCAGCCGCACTTTGTTGGAAATATGCTCTAAGCACTTACGCTGTGCTCTACAGAAAGACAACGGAACGATAAATTCGTGAAAAATTAAATACGCAATAGGAAAGCCGATGATAGACACACGTTCTAGCAATATGGCGCAACATAATATCTTCAGGTAGTCTACTGTCTTTGGAACACTGAGATTGGCCTGATAGCCTACGATTATATAACTACAACATGGAATTTGTACTGACCGCCATCTTTCTCTCAAAAGCAGCATTATGCAACAATTTAGAACTAGTCTTGCTAGGTAAACTACCAATGAACCAAAAATAAAACACAGATCCCCGCTGCAAATCACTAACCAAATTATCAAAAATGCAGTGCAGTTTACCGCAAACGTAGACACCTAACTTCGCGCAGAGCCCCCATAAACACGTATTTGTAAAGTCTGCCTGTTCGCGCGTGTGCCGACAGTCGGCCGGTAGTTCACTGGCAGTCCGGGCAGGTCAGTTCGCGATGGTGCGTCGGACCGCGGTGCACTATCGAGACCTGGGACGGCGCGGCACTGACCACACACACCGCCCGGCAGCCTGGCCCGGGCGGCCATCACTTGTCTCTACAGTGCGCTCTAGAGACGTCTCGTCCCCCAGTGCTAGGTCCGAACTCCCGCACACTCTCCAATATTGTACTTCTGCTGCGGCGGCGCTGGGCCGCTCCGGGGTAGACCCGCCGCCCGTCCGGCGTCCCCCGCGGAACCGGGTGACGAGCCCTGACGGCTAGTTGAGCAGGGTGCGCTGGCGAATCACCTTGCCGCTGGGCACCAAGACGCTAGGGTTGCCGTCACGGAACGACACCTGTCGAACGGACGGGCAGTCAATGGTACAGCTCCCTGGCGCAGAGTGGATGGTGCAGTTACGAGGGTGCGAGTAGATTGGTTATGTGAATCGGAAAAGTACATGACGTGAGCAGTTCAATTCAGATTTCAGTTTCAAAGCTGAGTAGGGGAGAGTGGGGTAATTTGGCCGGTGGTGTAAATTGGCCGCCCCCACCTGTACGAAAGCTGATAAAAGTGAATGAAATAACTTTAGTCTCTATTCATTTGTCATCGGCAGAACTAACTCGAGAACAAATGTCAAAACTTTCCCCCTCCTAGTTTTATTCAAAATTAATAAAACGTGAATTTCGTTAGAAAATGGTAACTTTTACTTCCGTTTAAAAATTTGTATAACAAGTAGTATCTGGGCTGTATACGAATTCCAACATTATAGCGCCATTTTTGAGGGTGTTCAGCGATTCCAAGAGCAATTTCATCTAGTTCTGTACAGCCATGACGACTTTATAGACAACAATTTTCAGAATGGCAATGTGGGGTTATTTGGCCGGGACTAGCGGGGCAACTTGGCCGGTGCGCTCAGAGTCACTATGCTGGGACGGCCGAGTTGTCGTGGTCAATTATACCATAAAGGACATAATTCATGACCAACTTTGACTACCTTGATGCCATATTTCCTATTGGACAGCTGTAAGGGCATGTGACGTCATCAAAGGTTACCTAACGCTTTTTTGCTAAAAAAAATACTTACAGAAAAAGATACAGCCGCGCAAATGGTCTCATTGTGTTCAGCTCGTCAAGGCGCATCGAATGATATACATGATGACCTTGAACTCACGTAACCTTGAGGTCAAGCGACCTGAGGTAACGTGACCTGAAGCCAACCTTTGACCTTGACCTCTTGAGGTCAACACATACATGTTTCGATGCGGAATGATGAGAGAATTACGATGGTACTTTTAGTTTTGGCCTAGCTTGATTACTTCAAAAGCTATTCGTAAAAAACTGTCATCGCATCTAGAGCCGCTATTTTGACTATTTTCGACCCCTGTGACGGCTGAGTCAACCTCAAAAATGCTTCAAAGGCGTCGTAGGACACGCGTCATTGCTGAATGTGAAGCTGACTCGCCTATAACAAAAATCATGGCCTCAAACTAACACCGGCCAAATTGCCCCACACCCCCGGCCAAATAACCCTGCTAGTGGGGCAATTTGGTCGCTTTGCAGACCTTTGTAATACGCCACAATTTCAATATAAGTAGTTTCTCTATCATTTCAAGTTTACTGTCAAAGAAAGTAAAATGTATGCCACACTTGTCAGCGTTGAGAAAATGCAGAAATGTGTTGTCGATTTTTAGTTACATCGTTTTCTAAAAAAGCGGCCAAATTACCCCACTCTCCCCTACTCATTGTGAGTTCTGAGAGACGTACTATGCCACTAGATCGACATGTTCTTGATAATGCCAAACACTTTTTTTTCGATAAATCACAGGACGAAGAAAAAAACAAATTGTAAACGCCCTCGCCCCTCCACCGCAACAGTAATAATCGTAGCACGATCAGCCCATCCCTTGGACATCTTTTCATTACCGAACGCTGCTGTTTCTCATCCCGAACATAAGCAGCCACCCGCCCACCAGCTCGCCCCTTTCTACCTACCTGGTACTCGACGAAGCAGCGCCGTGTCACGTAAGTCACCGGCACGGGCTCGCTGTCTGCGGGGGCACGGAGCAGCAACGGCGCGCCCACCTCCGGTAACTGACACAAGATATTCCCCGACATCTCCTGAGGAGACACACACAGATCACGGTCGGCGTTAGCTGTTAGCAAGTCGGACGGGAAAGCCAGTGACATGCCGGCTTGTCGATTGTTTATTGGTCGCACATGTAACCAGGGCAGATATGGGGTACCCGACCAACGGAGGTCTCAAAGAAAAAAAAAATACAAAAGAGAACGCGACCAAAAACAAAAGTAGACTTCACCACTGATAGCTCATGAGCCAATTTGCCCTCTTAACAAAAGGGCAAGTTGGTTCAGGAGCTTGCAAAACTACCAAGTTTTAGTGAACGTAGAGTTTTTATGATATTAGTAGCTTACCCTGAATTCCATAACAAAGGAAGTCGAGTCGTTTCTACACTGGAATATCTCAAAGTCAGCCATTCGCCATTAATTGAAACAGCACACAAGCTATGGCACTCTCTCTCTCTCTTCTCTCCGCCACACATTAATATCCGTTGACCCGAGCCTTACCGTGAGCTGTTTGGGCGATATATCACTGCGCTGTGATCCGTCCGGCAGGGAGACTGTGAACGTGGACCGTTCTATGCGCCGCTCCACGATCCCTCGCCGGTACGTGCCGTCCGGGTGGAGCGCAGTCACCGACTCGCCCTTCTTGGGCACACGAGAGTCCCCGGGTCGAATGGGGCCGGGCTGCAGGGAAGTGATACGATTGCGTTAGATGGAAAATAGTATGGGGCATAGTGTAGTCATGATTTAAATAATTGATGGAGAAGGCAACAGAATGGAAGGCGTACACGACTAAGCATGGAGCATTATTTGAAGCGGTATGCCTTTGTACCTCAAGATATACATAGCATGTGAAGCTAATACGCCATCACCATCAGGTACAGCGAGAGTTCACGATAAGACTAATAGATATCATGAGATCAATGCAACAACGCAGTACGCCGCAATTAAAAATACAGATGTTTTGGCTAGTTCTGCCCACTTACCGGTCTGCTTCGGCGGTGCGGCGCCTGGGGCGTGGTCGAGGTGGCCGCGGAGGCCGGCTGCTGAGCGGTTACACCAGACTGCTGAGCGGGTACACCAGACTGCTGAGCGGGTACTCCAGGCTGCTGAGCGGGCACACTCGTCTGCTGACTGGGCACTTCAGTTTGCTGAGCGGGCATCTCAGGCTCCTCATCGAGCACAACCACCTGGTGCTGCTGGGTCGGCACGGCGTCCTTCTGAAGCGGCGCGGTCCTCTGCTGTGGCCTGCCGTAGTGTGCCCTGGCCGCCGGCCGGGCTGCCGGTGCCGCCTGTCCCTGTAGCGCCGCCTGTAGAACGCTGTTGGCCGCCTTATGCTGCGCCCAGCCCTCGTGCTGCGGCCGGGACGGGGCGCGCGATCGGTATCCGATCGGTTCGTCGGTGTAGTAGTGACCGACCGGCGTGGGGGTCTGGTAGTTGGCCGACGTGGTTCTCTGATAGTTGGCTGGTTCAGCAGGCCGGTAGTATACTGGCGCGGAGTTCTGGTAGTTCGAGGCCGCCGACGACGCTGTCCCCACTTGCAGAACAGTTACTGAAGACAGCTGAGCCAGCTGGGTGGCGGTGAGCTTCTGGACTATTCCGTCCTTCAGTGTCTGTATGGACGGGAGCTGCGGCCGCTGAGCGGTGGGCGGACGTGGGACAGGGCGGGGAGCAGTGGGGACCTGCTGCGGCCTGGTAGCCGCCGCCGACGGCTGGTTCTCCTGGTACCGATAGGTGACGCAGCGTGAACCACGGATCATCTGCTGCGGCCGCGGCGGGATCGGCTGCGGTGGCGTCTGCTGAGTTAGCGTCGGCCGCGGCTGCTGGCCAACAGCGGAGTACGTCTTAGACGATTTATTGGGAGCTGTACCGTACCCCACAGCCGTAGCAGCGCAGAGTTGTCGGATGGCAGCCACGTTATCATCCGGCAGCGCACCGAGGGGCAGAACGTCGGAGGATGAGCCGCCTGCTGCAGTTTGTGGGACGGTCTCACTCATCGGTAGCGAACTACCCGTGGACTGAGAGACGGTGACGGTAACTGAGCGCGCAGCCGACTGAGGGGAGCTCGTGGAGGAAGTGGTGACCACTTGGTAGATAGTCTGCTGAGCAGGGACGGAGCTGGGTTGTGTGACGCCTGAGATAGTAGGCGACTTCTGAGCTGTCGCGGTGATGGATGGAGAACTCTGCGCTGGTAGAGGGGAGGCCAGTGGATCCGCCTGATACTGAGAGTCTCCAGACGCACTCCTGCTCGGCTGTGGCGAGGAGAAAGTAGCCGTCCGGGAAGAAGGCTCAGACGCAACTGGTAATGTACTCTGCAGGCCTGGGGTGGATACCGGCACAGCGGTCTCCCCCGAAGGGACGGCAGCACTGTTCGATCCGGTCTCGGGAGGCGTTAAAACCGTCGCGGTCGGTGAGGAAAAGATGGCGTCCAGCAGCGCTTTCATGGCGGAAGCATCATCACTGTTTAACGTAGGTGATTCAGTAGCAGAGGTTGCTACAGTCGAAGGAGACGTGACCACCGAAGAGACAGGGGTAGGGGAAGCGGTCATCGTCTGAGGAGACGAGCGAGGCGATGCTACCGTTTGTGGTAGACCGCCCGTCTTCAGGTTTTTCTGAGACTGAGCAGTCGAGTGGACGCTCTGACACGGCGAGTTGGGCGTGACGGCGATCTTCAGAAGACTAGTTCTTGATGACAGTAGAGACACGTTCTGACTTGTTCCGTTAGCTGGCGTCGTCGGAACGGTAAGCTGCGAGGCTGCGCCCCGATAATCCCCGCCGGCTCCTGCCGTCACTAGGGGGTACTGAATGGTGACGCCCTTCACCCTCACGAACCCTGGCCGGGTGGCGGCGGCCCGCGGTTGGGGGCGTGCTCCGCCGGGAGTCGCTGTTCCGTATGCACCGGGTTGGGCGCGGCCCGTCCCCACCGGCCTGGTCGAAAACCGAGGTGTGCCTCTGCCGGGGCGCACAGTACCTACGCCGGCAGCGTTCCAAGGCTGGATGGTAGTACGGACGGCTAATGACTGTCGAGCAGAGTTAGCGCCACAAGGCTGCGTCGCTTCTGCTTTGATGATCGGAGACGGAGTCAGGGTCGCTTCTGCTTTGATGATCGGAGACGGAGCCAGGGCCCGGTACCGCTTCATTGAATCTGCCACAGAGGCTCGAATATTGAATACGCCAGGGCTCTTCTGCGGTGACGATTTCTGCGGCTGGTTGCTGGCGGCAGGTGCCGAGGAGACGGCATGGGCGGCTGAGGCGGGGCTGGAGGCGGTAGCGGCCGCGGCGGCGAGGCTGGAGGCGGTGGAGGCAGCGGCGGCGGGGCTGGAGGCGGTAGAGGCAGCGGCGGCGGGGCTGGAGGCGGTGGAGGCAGCGGCGGCGGGGGTGGAGGCGGTGGAGGCAGCGGCGGCGGGGCTGGAGGCGGTGGAGGCAGCGGCGGCGGGGCTGGAGGCGGTGGAGGCAGTGGAGGTAACAGTGGCGGCGGCGGAGACAGAGGAGGCAGAAGAGGCGGGGGCAGTGGCGGCGCAGGCGGCCGCGGCCTGCGGTGTCTTACGCAGAATGGAGGGTCGTCGAGCCGGCTGCCGCTGCTTACTGGGGACCCTGGTCGGCCCTCCTGTGTTCGACTTCAGCTGCTTCAAATGGCACAGCAGTCTTGCCTGGGATGGGGTGATTACCGTCAATCTCGTCGCCTCTGACGGCATGTTCTTCGCCACCAGCTTCAGCTTTCCAGTGGTCTGTGTCACCCCTGCTGGTTTGGGCGCCAACAAGGGCTGGGTGGCTGACCCCGCACCACTCACAGCCGCTGATTTTTGCGGCGCCGGAGTCGGTCGGCCCTGTTCGCCAGCCATCCTCGCCTTGACCAGCTGCAAGTAACGGCGCGCCTCCTGCACGGAGAGCGCCCGCGGCGGCTGCGGGGTGGCGTTGGCCTTCCTCCCAGCCGGCGCCTGGCCGCGCTGTGGCGAGGCCGCCACACCGTCCGTCCGGCCTACGATCACGATTGTCTTGCCGTTGAGGGACGTCTGTTGGCCCTTGGCACCTCCAGGTACCGCCGCGGCGCGCTTATTGAGAAGTTTAGTCGCCAGGGCCTTCTTGGCGTTTCCGAGTGAGGCACTAACGCCACTCACTGCTCCGTTACCAGTCTTACCAGCTCCCAGGGAGGCAGCTGGCTGAGGGGTATCATTAGCGCTGTCCGGAGCAACACTGCTCCCATTGTTATCGGCGCCTGCACTGTCCTGCAACGACGCCTCAGATGCAGCTTTGGCGGCCTCCAATCTGGCGGCTTCTGCTCTGGCGGCTTCGGCCATGAGTTCCTCAATCCTGGCGGCCTCCGCCTTACGTGCCTCCTCCATCCTGGCCGCCTCTTCGGCCTGCTTCTTAGCCCGCCGCTCAGCGCGAAGTTCTGATATCCCGGGCGCGTTGCAGCGCAGACACTCCTTCTGAAGCAGTTTGATAAGGCGTATGTTGAAGGCCGACAGCTTCACCTCTTTCATCAGCTTCTCCAAGAAACGGAAGCGGCCCAATGGGTCCCTGCGGTGGCCGACCGTAGTTCGAAGATCCCGCATCGCGTAATATACGAGGGTAAGACGATCCGCATTTTTCAGCTTTTGAGTAACTGCTACGGAGGGCTTCTTATCTGCGGTGATGACTTCAGGAGGCGTCTGATTCGGGGTAACTGGCGAGGGCTCCAGGACTGGGGTGGACGGGGGAGCGCTCGGCTCCTTCTCAGTCTGAGGCTGGGAAAGAGGCTGGTTTTCGCACACGGTTGGCTGGGGAGGACTAGTGGATGGATCACCCGTGAGAGCCGGCGGCGACGCCTGTTCCGATGGCGCTGCAGCTCCCGGCGAGGGAGGCTTGTCCTGTGCTGATTGTCCTTCATCTGCCAGTGTGTCGGCCACCTCGGGGCCTTCCGATACCGCCGGCTGCGGCGACAGGGCGGGCGGGGGTGTGACCGACACCGCACCCGACGGCGACGTGCCCTCCTCTGGCGCCAGCGAGACCTCTGGGGGCTGTGTCTGCTCCGGGTTGCTCTCTAACACAGACGGTCCGTCGGGCACACCGGCCGGGGGCGCAGCAAGCTGTGGCGATAGCTTGGGCGGCGGTGGCGTTAGTAGCCCTGGGTCCGCGTTTGAGTTGGGAACGGTCAGCGTGGTTATGACTTCCAAAGCGGACATTTGTTCGAGCGGCGCTGGTTTTTGAGATTTGGTCTCTTCAGTCGCAGGTACGTCCGGCACCTTCACGTCTTCAGACACGTTCGACTTTGTCGCTGCAGGCTCTGTGGGCTGTTTTGCGGAGGAATCCGGCAGGATCGCTTTGGAGGGATCAGGAGACCCGGAGGGATCAGGAGACCCTCCAGCATTGATATCCGAGACCGACGGCGTTTTTGAATCATCAGCGGGCGTCTCCGGATGTTCAGAACCAGATCCAGACTTCTGTGGCAGTTGTTCTTCAACCGTCTTCGAGGCCTCTGGATCAGTTGGCTTCGCGACGTTCGCCGTCTGCGTCTGGGACGTCGCGGCATCCTTTTCAGGAGTTTCATTGGTGGCAGAGGGCAGCTGGTGAGCCTTCCAGCGCTCCAGACTGTCGTTCTCCCGCAGCCAGCCGACCACCGACACAAACAGATTCTCCAAGAACTTACGCTGCCACTCCTCAAATACATGGTCTGGGATGAGTGTGTCATCTGTGTGCTGAGCTTTGGGAGCAGGCTGGTGGCGCAAGTTTATCGTCCGCTTCCCACCTCCTACGCCTGTCTTCACAGCACAGGACGGACGGTACTCCTCGCCACTGTCACCTTCTGATGCAGACTCGGACTTGACGTCTGCCTCACTGTCTTCCTCCACTTTCAGTTTCGCCTCCTTCTTAATTCCTTGCTTAACTTTCTGTCTTGCTCTCTTAGACGTGTTTATTCCAGATGGTCCAGGCTCGCTTTTAATAGCCGCCGAGTCAATCTCTATTGATGGATCCCCTTCAGCGTTCACCTCCGTTTTGACTATGCTCTTCCGCCTGCGTTTTCCGACTTGCGGTACCATAGGCTCCGATTTGACAGCGTCCGCCAGCATCTCCTCCTCTGATGACGTGTACTCCGCGCCCACGGGCTTATTGGCCTTGCGCCTCTTGCACTGCCTCTCTCTGAGCAGGCGTTTCTCCTCCGCCTTCCTGCGTTTGCGGTGTTTACGCTCCACGCAGGCCATGTAGTCGTCGTCAGAGTCGGACACTGGCCGTCTCCGACCGCGTCCGGGACCCAGAGGCGGCAGATCCAGCTCGTCCTCGTCATCTGCGAACGGACAGCGCCGTCAATGTCACTTAATATGTTTACATGTGACACTAGACATTTAATGTAAAGAGCTAAGAGAAACTTCACTTCAATCTCCGGGCTACAAGGTCGAAAAGCGACAGCCGATGGAAGGAAATAATATAAAACACACCGTTGATCTTAACCCTGATATTATTTGACCTTGTGCATGATCATTGAGCAATGAAGCGAGTGAACATGTTGTTGCAGTCAGACACTTGACCTTCACGTCGTCTTACATATCCTGGACTATATTACACAAAATAAATTATCATCTCTGATCAAATCTAACACGATATTCGTGACCAGCACCCCGGAAAACCCCATAGCAGCCCTTGTGCCGTCGAAGGACGCAAAATGGCCTGTGCCGGCGAGGGTTAAGTACCTACCAACAATCTGGTACGAATTTCTTCTCATTAACCCTCGCCCATGTAGGGGGGGGGGTTGGTGCAACCCCCCCCCCCTGAGGTTTTTCGGAAATAGTGCAAAAACGGCGGCGCGCAGCGCCGCCAAATTTTGGGTACCTTATGGGGCAAACCTTGCGCATCTTTTGATAAAAAAATTGACCGGGTCATGTCAGGTCACGGAGTTATGACGTCACAAAGGGAACAGCCTCCGGCCGGATTTTCACAAACTGAGTGCCAACGCCCGAGGTTTCCTGCCGGTGGTACGGACATCGGTTGATGGATCGTGATGAAACTTCCCATGCATGTTGGGGCAAGTATTGGCTATCATATGGTATAAGAAACTTGACCGGGTCAGGTCAGGTCACGGAGCTATGACGTCACAAGAGGAACAGCGTCCGGTACTATTTTTGAAAAGCGCCCGAACCACTATTTTGCTAATTCTTGTCACCTCAATGGGAATATGCAGCAATATTAGCTTCTATAGGGAGCAAATGGACCTCCCAAATCCAAAAATACAATCAGATTTCAAAAATTTAAATTTTGATTTTTCGAATTTTTGCCGCCGACTGTGACCTTGCCGACTTCAGGCGCTCCCAACGCGCCATTTTTAGAGCTAGGGAAACGAAATACATACCAAACGATAGAGAATTGATCAAGGAACACGATAGTGAAGGTTTCAAGTCGATATCTCCCACCGTTTTGCCGCAATCGCCGCGGAAAGTTGAACAAGTCTATTTTCCGAAAATTTGACCTTTGACCGGTCAAAAGTAGGTCAAATGTTGATCTAGGACCAAAAAATATACCACCAATCGCGAGATCTCGGCGAGAGCAATCCGTTGGTCTTTTCCGCTAAGCTCTACGACGCTCCGTTTTCAAACGCCAAGGGGGGGGGTCGCACCAACCCCCCCCCCTGCATGGGCGAAGGTGGCAGATCGCCGTTTACGGGCGAGGGTTAAAACTTCCAACTAGATTCCCTCATCCGTCCATCTCCCTCCCCATCCCGGCTTCATCTCACTGGTCCCATTCAGCGCTCACCGGTCACCCCGGCCTTCAGGTAGACATCCTGCAGCGCTAGTAGTTGGTCGTAGTCCATGGGCACATCGGCCACGTCGGCCGGCGGCGGAGAGCACGTCGATCCGGCGTCGTCGTTCAGGTCGCCGCCCGTCCGCTCGTGGATCGGGTGACGCTTGTGCAGGCCGGCAGAGGCGTCCAGCGGCGCCTCGGCACCCTCCTCCACCCTGAAGCCACGCACAAAGGGTCGTCAAGAGCCGAGGAATGCAAGGTGAGGTACGGGGTGGGTCGATTCCGCGCCGGTGGGGTCGGGCGTGTTTAGGAGGGTTCTGCGCACAGCGAGCACGGTATGTTCACTCGTGTGCAATTACACAATCGGTGTCAAACTAACTCCCGTTACGAATTACGAGCACAGGCATTCGTTCGAACAAGAGAAGTCGAGTCATGCGCTCCTAAATGACAAATCTTGATGAAACGTGGATGAAGGCAATAAAATGGCGAGCAGGAAACCCTGGACGTAATTTTGTAATCATTCATCCCGCCATCTCGATCCTCTCAGTTTGTACCAGCAGAAGCAATAACATCAGACACTTGATCACTGATAAACCCCGACTCAAATCAATCCCCAGACATATTATGCACACCCGAAACTGCCGGCATGAGAGCTACAAGCAGATCCCCGTTCATCCTCTCACCCTGGCTCGAGGATCGCCGGCGGCCGGTCGGCGATGCCCGGGTGGGACGGCACCATGATGTCGGGCCTCTCCGGGTGGGGTCCAATGTCCTCACCCTTCAGCCATTGTTCGTACCGCTCCGGCTGCAGACGCTTCACGAACGTGTCCATGTTGATACGCACCATGTCGTCCCTGACACGGACGGGAAGGAAGAAGAGAGGTCAATGACTACCTCAGACCTCCTTTTGTCTTCCGTCCCGTAAAATGACCGGGATAAAATATGACCGACTGCCAAGCTAACTGTAATAAGTTAGGCAGCTCGCACGAATTTTAATAATTTTTGTTCCATGTTTCCATAACAATTTCTTGACCACCTAGATGTTACATCAAAGTTCATTTATATGTCATAAAACAATGACCAAGAAATGTCCCTCGTTGCAAAATGTCGATACATTACTCCCGTTGAACAGTGAAAAACATCGGTAACCATTTAACAGCAGCGGCCACTCATGACACTGATCGAACTGCCAGTCTGTCTCGTCCCACTCCCAACTCACTTGCAGTAGCAGAGAGTGGCCCGCTTGCCGTACTCGACCCAGCGCGGCGAGGCGAAGTTGGTCGACTCGGCGCAGTTGAAGCCGTGGTTGTACCCCGAGTGGTAGCCGTAGGGGAACGTGATCATAATGTCACCAGCCTCCTGAGTGATCTGCGAACGGCACATGGAACATAGCGAAGCGGTAAAATTTGGCATTATCGATGTTACATACACATTATAATAAAGAAACGAATTTAAGTCGTATGACTTACGTTAGTCACCTATTTAAAACTGAGGCAGCATGAGTAACTCACTTCTAAAGACAAAGACACGGCTAGCGTGGCGCCAACTGCAAGCATCATCAACTTCCAACACCACAGTCAGCGCCGCCACTCACCCGGTTGAAGGGCACGCCGTGCTTCTTGAGAAGCTGCGGACTGAGCAGGATAGACTTGTGTCTCAGGAAGGCGGGACACTGGCGCGACTCTGTGGGGAACATGGCGGCGGCCAGCTGCTCCAGTCGCCAGCCGTGCGCCGGCGGCACGGCGTACCTGGGAAACGGAGATGGCAGAGTGAGAACACACCACTCAGTGATCACACATACAGAAAGACGAGAATGGCATACTGTACCACCTGACGAGGTGAAATGAGACCAAAAAGGTAGCTTTTTTGTAGCACTGCTATCCTAGCACTCTACAATTGTACTAAACATGCGATCAACTCACCAGGATTTGGGCGCTCCGTAGTGAAGGTAGTTGATGCTGTACAGATCCATGTCCTCCGTGTGCCAGGCGAACGTGGTCTTCCACATGCCGAAGTACAGGTAGGCTGTGTTGACGCCGGCAATACTCAGGCCGTAGTCCTCATCGACGTAATCGAGAATGGTGCCCAGACGATTTATGTTCCAGACCTGAGGAAGCGAAACAACGAAGAATCTCATGCAACGAGCTAAATCAATATTGATCAGTGCAATCCGATCACAAATATCAGGAATAAAGGCTTGGGAAAGTCAATACTACATAATGAGACGGCAAAATTGATCCATCAATTGCCTATCTTGTGGAATAAATAGCAGCAGCTGACTACGCACCGAGAGTGAACAGGGATATTCACACAAATTAGGGATATTACCGCAAAATGAAGTCGACTCTCGAAAAATGTACAGTCGCTAAAATAGCGCACCAAAGAGCCTCTACCAGCAAAATCTCTTCCTACACCACCCCCGCCGCCGCGGTGCCCCGCCGCCACTCACGTCACAGTCAGGGTCGGTGAGCGAGCCGCACACGTCAGCGCCGTAGATGGGCGACACATAGGTGACGTTCTTCCAGTAGCGGCGCTCCAGGTCGGCAAAGTCGTCGTGCGGCGGAGCGCGGTAGTGGCGGCCGTCGGCCAGCGCGCGGAACTCTGTAACGCTGAGCCGCGAGCGGAGCACATTCACCTGGCTGTAGGCTCCCAGTCGGCCCGTCACAACCTGTGAGAGACCGGGACAGGGTGTGAACAGTCAGATGGCACTGTTTTGAAGATGGGGTGTATAAGAAATGATGGAGAGGTGTACCGAGCCAACCCAGGCTTATAACACATCGCAATGCTACGAGCAGTCAAGAATGATGACTTATGGCGGTTTGTAAGTAGGATCTCAACATGATGGTGTCGTACTCGTTTTCTTTTTACACGAACGTTACAACCTTATTGTGTAGAAAGAATGAACCTAGCAAAAGCAACAATGAAGAGATAATAATTGATACTGATGTCTAGTGGTTACCTGTGCAATGGGATGTTTGATGGCCATTTCGCCAACATCTTCCATTTTGAAGCCTGCTTTGCGGGGAACCCATTCTTTCGGTGGAATAATCTGCAAAGAACAATAACACAACACACGTTAGCATACCAAGTAACGGAACATTTTCAGAGCCTGGTTCTACGGTATTTCCTGTACAAGAGCATTACTTATTAATTGTATGTCTTTAGGCACATATCTTGCATAAAAACCAGAAATTCACATAACAGCTTGAAATGCCCTTTAACCCTCGCCCATGTAGGGGGGGGGGGGCTGGTGCAACCCCCCCCCTGAGGTTTTTCGGAAATAGTGCAAAAACGGCGGCGCGCAGCGCCGCCAAATTTTGGGTACCTTATGGGGCAAACCTTGCGCATCTTTTGATAAAAAAAATTTGACCGGGTCATGTCAGGTCACGGAGTTATGACGTCACAAAGGGAACAGCCTCCGGCCGGATTTTCACAAACTGAGTGCCAACGCCCGAGGTTTCCTGCCGGTGGTACGGACATCGGTTGATGGATCGTGATGAAACTTCCCATGCATGTTGGGGCAAGTATTGGCTATCATATGGTATAAGAAACTTGACCGGGTCAGGTCAGGTCACGGAGCTATGACGTCACAAGAGGAACAGCGTCCGGTACTATTTTTGAAAAGCGCCCGAACCACTATTTTGCTAATTCTTGTCACCTCAATGGGAATATGCAGCAATATTAGCTTCTATAGGGAGCAAATGGACCTTCCAAATCCAAAAATACAATCAGATTTCAAAAATTTAAATTTTGATTTTTCGAATTTCTGCCGCCGACTGTGACCTTGCCGACTTCCGGCGCTCCCAACGCGCCATTTTTAGAGCTAGGGAAACGAAATACATACCAAACGATAGAGAATTGATCAAGGAACACGATAGTGAAGGTTTCAAGTCGATATCTCCCACCGTTTTGCCGCAATCGCCGCGGAAAGTTGAAAAAAAGTCTATTTTTCCGAAAATTTGACCTTTGACCGGTCAAAAGTAGGTCAAATGTTGACCTAGGACCAAAAAATATACCACCAATCGCGAGATCTCGGCGAGAGCAATCCGTTGGTCTTTTCCGCTAAGCTCTACGACGCTCCGTTTTCAAACGCCAAGGGGGGGGGGTCGCACCAACCCCCCCCCCCCCTGCATGGGCGAAGGTGGCAGATCGCCGTTTACGGGCGAGGGTTAAAGGGACCCTCCCACCTTCAAAAAAGTTAATGAATTGGCATGAAAGTGATGTCGCTCGGTTCAGAAAGAGCAAAAACGCATATCTACCAAATTTCATCGAAAAATATTCACCGGTTTTCAAGATATTAGACTTATACTTTTGTTTACTTTTTGGGATCTCCGCTGTTCCTAGCGACTTTATTTGAAAGTGCGGCATTTGTTGCGCGCAAAGCAGCATATACCACCGCGTGCTACAAAACGTTTTAGTCAAACATTTAACGGACGTTCGAAAGCCTGATGACGTCATCAGATTCCCGTAATGGTTAAGAGATAGGGACCACGCTGGTCCCACCCTGCAAGTAAAGGGAAGAAATTTCTTGAACACCATAAAGCTGCGGGGGTTGCGACCAGGATAAATGGTGGTTTCTGAGCCTGGCCGCAAACTTGGCTATCTCAACTCAAAACTAATGTTAAGGTGGGAGGGTCCCTTTAAGTCTTCTTATCAGTACATATTGAATATCATCAAAGTGCATACCTTCGCCACACCAGCCTTGTGCGCTCCTTGAGACTCGATGTACTCAATATACTTAGAAAAGTCCTTGAACTCTTCATAGGTGGGTCTAAACACCATTATCTCTGGAATAGCTTCGCTAAAAGCCATGGTGTTTGCCGTGATCCTCACCCTGAAAAAACGATTCCATGATAAAGGTCAATCCAATGAATCATAACAGGACAGTTTTCAGTCTAAAATAAAACATGACAAACAAGTGTAACCTAACCTAGGCTTACATTCACGCAAGAATCGATTGGTGTTTCTGTGCCAGTGTTGCAACTTGCAAGCAGAACAGCATCATAGCCAAATGAACCCAGCAAGAAGTTATGCTGCGCCAACAGTAGGAGCTTAGGTAGGTTCTTCTCCAGTCTGGAGCACCAGCACGTAAGCCAGACAAGAAAAAAAAAAATACATACACTACGCCGAACGCCTCGGGGACTCTCGTGCGCCGAAATTGGGCGCAATCGAAACTTTGCGCTGAATATTTAGCACAAGTTGCGCCGAAAGTTGATGCTTATTTGTGCCAAATTGTGTCCTTTTGACCTTAAGCCCATCTAAATGCCTACCTATGCCATAAACATTAAACCATTCGATAACAAATATCAAGAAGACTGGATGAAAAACCGGCAAGAATATTTTTCCGTCATGAGTTCATAGTTTTTCCAAATTTAAATGAGGGAGGACACGAGGTTGGCGTATAAATATGGTACCTACGAAAATGTCACCTCTTCCCTTTTACCACTACTACCAACTGACAGGCCCACGGCAGGCTTCCTTGTGCGTGCGCGTGACGCTGCGCACATCAGCTGCGGGGGGGGGGGGGGGTAAGCGCGTTCCCCTTCACCGCGGCCTTGTGCAGCGGTCGTTTTTAATGAACAGTGCGATATGTCAGTTCCAGTAATTCCACTTTCAGGACATACCAATATCGGAACATGTCGTTCGACATACCACCAGCACAGGATAATAATAGACAATCATCCGGAGTACAGAACGTTGATCATCATATTGCACTGTACGCAAAACGTCTGTGTTTCTCTTAAGACGACTCAGCGAGCAAAATATCTCCCAAACATAATCACGCGCTACATTACATACAGGGCAGGGCATGGGTAGGTTCCTTCCCAGTTCCCGGCCAAGCAATCCGATCACAGACCAGTCTTCTTGAGCCCCGGGAAACCTCACTTAACCCTTGCCCTGCTGGGGGATGGGGAAGGGGGGTGTTTGAACACTCTCCAGTTTCTCCTGCCCCCTCTCCCCAGCACTGTGGTTTTTGGCACACCTTATCATACATCTTTTTTACACATCGACTTCTTTATCAGTCGATCGACGTTAGTGATCGACTGATATGCAGCACGACCATCTGCCGTCAACTTTTCAAGTTGGCCTTTCCTTGTCAAGGTATAATTCATTTAATGTGTTTCGATGAGAGGAACACGATGCTGGTAGAAGTAAGCTCATGCAAGATTCGAGTGAAAAGTTATTGCAGAAAGACCGTTACCACAAAATATCCATTTGGGCAGTTTTTGCCCCCTTGCAGGCTAACCTGTTCGCCTTAGGCCAAACCTGAGGACATTTTAACGAAAGACCGTTATAAGAACTATCGAATGCGTTTTTTCGTTGTTGATGTTGATGTTGATGGTAACATGGATTTTTTACGGTCTGGCAGCCGGCAAGTAGGCAAGGGACTGTTTTGACAATTTTTTAGGGTCAATTTATTGTTCCCGTACATATGGATTGGTATTTTGTCCAATTATCAGTCTGGTGTGCTTGGGGCGATTTTCACTGTTATGGGTTTTTGAACTCTGCAAGGAAAAATCAGGAGATAGTAAGTTGAAATCTCACTGATTGCGATGTAGACAGCCAGACTGGAAAACAACCATACACTACGCCGGACGCCCGTGAGACCCTTTTGCGCCGAAATTCGGTGCAAAAGATTTTGCACTGAAATTTATGCATGATTTGCACCGAAGCTTGGGTGCCTATTTGTGCCCAAATTAAGCCACTTTTATATATAGCACATGTGCGCATCTACCGATCAAGGCTACATCAACCAGACAGAGCGTTCCAGGGCCTTGGACAATGGACGCTTTCCCATGCTTCAGCGTCCGAATAAGTTTTTTTTGGAAATTCAATACCTCAAATCTCAATACGCTTAGTGCACTGTAGCGTCGCACCGTGAAACAAGGCCGGAGCCGGAAGTTCCGGAGCCACAAAAATCGGCGGAGCGGTGTGATCGAGGCTGCCGGGGCCCGGGAGCCGGCGAGGGCCGGGCAGCGGAACAGCCCGTGCTCCAGCACATTAGCCTCTTCTCGGCACGGGGCGCCGCTTGTCTGGGCACTGCTGGTGCTGGTGGCACGCCGCGGAGTGGAAACAGCCGATTCAGTACACGTACTGGGGCGAGCGGCTCCAGTGGCCCGCCCTCATCTGTGATCTGGTGCACCGAAATGGGGTCCTCGCGGTCCTCTCCGGGGATAGGGAGCGGCGGCGTGCCCCCGAGGAGTGACTTGAATAGTGACTCGGACGAGCTGTCCCGCCATTAATGCGAGGCCGGACAACGAACCGCCCTGGTCAGCAAGCGGGCGTTTGAAGGCAGGGCGGCAGCTTGCTTCGCCAGGTCGTCCGCGCTCTCATTCCCCTCAATATTGCAGTGGGCAAGAACCCGCTGCTGACTGCAGAGGGGTGTTCACAAGCACCGCAAACTGCTGAGTGCAGTGTGTACGATGTGGGCAGCAGCCGTGGGGGTAGAGGATGGGTAGGCAGTTCTGATGTCATGGCTGTGTGAGCCGTTAGGTGGATGGTCCAGTCTCAGCCGGTCCCAACTGACCACAGCAGTCACTGCGTGCGGTGATGGCAGGATGACATAGGCATGAAGTGGGCAGAGCTTACAGCCTGTATATGGTCCGACCTCACACAGGGCCCGTGAACAGCCCTCAGGATTACTTAATGACCCTTGGCGATGTTCAACAAGGTCTTCCATACCTATCTCCTGAGAGGGTTGAGGCCTCACCTGGGCTGCCGCTCCTCAGCTTGGTAGAATCAGGGCGGCTCGGCTCGCCAATTCAAGCACATGATGACCAGGACATAATGTCTCATCCTGAGACCTTTCCAGAGCCGCCCGCAGGGCAAATCTGCTGCTAGATTGACCAGCGTGTCGACTAAATTCAGTGACTGTCATCGGCAAAAAATTATGAGTCCGCCCTGCCCAAAAAATAAGCTGCCGCCATGCACTGAGTTTAGCCGCATGTTAAGTTACGCCACAAATGCGCTGAAATTTACAGCGGATCTAGCCACTATGCCGAACATATTTGGCATGCTGTGTACTGTGTAGGTATTTTTACAGTCTGGGCACAGAGGAGGGATGACAGTGAAGAATAGGTAGGTACCAGTACCAAGTTTGAACCCAATGGCGGTGTAGTTGGTTTGACTGTGATAAATGCTGGGTTCATTGCCACAAGCTTCAGGATAAGTAACTTGAACTTCTCTTTAGAGTTAAGCTCAGGCTACTTTATCAGTGTTTTTCGGTTTCTGCGGGATTTCGGTTTCCGCGTTTTTACGGTTTCAGCGTTTTTTCGTTCCGGGCGGCCGCCGCGTGAACGTGGATAGTGATGGGTATGTGATCAAATTAATAAGTTATTCATGTTAAACATAGTCGTATTTTTACACAATTATAATTAAAAAATTGTTTTTAAGATTTTACAACTAACAAGAATATATTTTCAATCATATTTTTTGTCAGCTTAATTACAATTATCATATTTGAAGTAGAATGATGAGTTTTGAAACACATCTTGTCTTCTTTAATCATGAATTACACCATTTTCATTATTTTCATTTGAAACTGCTCCATCGTCACAATATCATTAGCAAAAATCACTTCTAATCATTCATCACTAAAACGAAATCCCGCAGAAACCGAAAAAAGTTCACAGCTCTGAACTTTTTTTCGGTTCCGACTCGTCTATTTTTGCGGGTTTTCGTTCCACGGGACGCCAGACTGGCAGTGTAGCTTGCACAATGCATTCGCTATGAGGCAAACTTGACGACGCGAACCGAAATCCCGCAGAGACCGAAAAAACGTCGGAATTCATGCTAGTGTAGCTTAGGCTTTAGAGTTTAGAGTTCTCATTAGAGTAAACCATGATATGAAGAGCACAAACAATAAAATGAAAAGGCACTTACCCAGCTAAAAGTTGCAGACAATCCTATTTTCCATTTTGAAGATCAAATGAAAGAACAACCAACAGGTTGTCACAAAAATGATATTCTGTGGTACTTTCTTGAAACACCAAAAATACGGACCCCTCTCAACACAATAACACAGAAGAAAACACACAAATTCACTTTGCGTCAAGGTTACGATTTTGGAAAACCCAAGGAAAACCATTAGAAGTTCAAAGACGGCAGGAATCTTGAAAATGACGTCAAAATTATCGCTGCATATTGCATGTTGTAGGAATCTTATTCTTGACAAGATTAATTTACATGAAAAAAATACAGCAGTTATGATATGCACGACTGGCATGACGGGCACGAACAAAGAAAAAAAGACTACATTTTTATGTGAACGACGCTGTAGAAATGTCCCTCCATATCATTGGTAGAAATTAATGACGTAACAAGATCGATCTAGGCAAAAATAACGTAGTGGTACTAGAACACGCATGTTGTAGGCTTGAAAGTCTCCCATTCATTCAATATAGTCCAATTCGTCCAATTCAAATTGCAACCCGCAACAAGCCAAGGCAACAACCCACAACAATCTGCTTGTGTGAAAAACAGAATCAGAATATTTCAATTTTCTGTCAGACTTTTCAAATATTGGGATCTAGGATTTGTGGAAAAGGATAGTAAAAGAGGTGCTGGTACTGTAAGGTGAAGGGAGGCTATTATTTGAGACAGCAGGTTTTCAATATAAAATGAAAACCATTTGATATTTTTTGTCATTTTTACTCAGGTGATTAACCGCTCTATTACGCATCAACCCTAGCAAAAGTGACAAAAAATATTGAACTGTAATCATTTTATAATGATTTTTAGATGTTCTTAAATAGCCCGACCTTGCAGTATCGGTTTGATTGACCTAAGGTTCTGTGTTGCATTGAACATGATGGTAATGAAAATTTGAATTTCTGAGGCCACATTGACATGGCCACCCATGTGGTCTACATTGCATTCATGTGGTCTGTTTGGTTGACCAATGAGATGCCAAGAAATGTTAGCAATGATTTATTTGGGAAAACAGCAGCATGCTGATAAAAACATTGACTGAGCAATGTCCTGGTTAAGGGATGCAGCATCAATAACATCCTGTGGAAACTGGAAGACAGTTCCAGCTACAGCCAATGATATCTGGTGCACTTGACCACTGTCATTCTTCTCAGTTCAGCCTCAACTTGGTTGTGGATCTCAGGAGTATCAAATGCTGGTTCTTGGCTATAACAGTAACTGGAGGTGTTTACCAACACAGCTCTATGCAAAATCTGCATTTCAACTTGTGAATTGTGATCTGTGGACTGTGCCACACCACAAGAAATCTCCACTGATTGATGCCAGCACAGATTGATGTCTCAACTTGCCATGTTCTGCAGTCTGCAGCCTTGCTGCTGCCATGAGCACAGACATGATGAAACTTCAAGTTACAAATGAGCTGAGCCAGCAGTGTTTGATGTGGCTGAAATTCAAATAACTCACTTAGGTATATGACTGCCTAGTACTCTGGTAAAAGCAAACTTTTATTTGACAAATCCTGCCTTTTGATTTAACACTTGCACTGGCAAAATGAGTCTTTGTAGCCACACTGCAGAAAGAAGGCAACATTTCTTAGCCCCAAGGAGGAAGCAGACTTCTCATCACATTTCACCTTGTCACAACCAAACAATATTGCCAATCCCCTGCTCAAGCATGATGTGAGCTTGCAGAACCTGATTGGTTTGTAGCCTTTGATTAATACAGATTTGCTGGTGTTGACCAAAGTGTGTTATGTCTTTGGCACTCTTTGTCACCATTTTATGGCGATATACCTACCGCTAACCGCACCACTGTAATTTATCCAATGTACTATGCCACCAGGAGATGCCCAACAGCAAGGTTTCGGCGGAGGAAGCACGGGAAAAGGTATCTAAGTACAAGGATGACATCAAGGTGGAGGGCGAGCGTGTCGTCAATGACGTGCTGCCGCAGCGGATCCTTGAGATGAACGAGCTGCTGGAGCAGGCGCCGTTCACCACCACCGACCTGCGCCAGTTCCACAGCGCTCTGCAGGTGGGCGTGCCGCCGCCGCTGCACGCCGATGGACAGCCGCCGCCCGGCAAACGGCGCAAGCGCAGCGAGGACGCCGGCGACGGCGAGTCTCCCCCGGCCTCCTGCCTCCTCCCGCACGGCTCTGTGCCGTGCAACAAACCCATCACCGACATCATAGAGATACTCAAACCGGTGAGAGGGGACGACTATGATGGATTAATGGTAATGTCACTGCTGGTGGCTGAATTCGACTCGTTTTCATATTTTGTTACGCTTCTTCTTTTTTACCGGCTAACGATCCCTGCGGCCGTTGAAATATTTTCATTAATTTTTGTTGGTGTGTACAATTGGCAACGGAGAAAAACAGTCCAATGGCTTACCATGAGTAAATCCATGTACGACCGATAATTTCACACTTACCGTCTGCATGGACTGGCCATCCACATATGTAAGCGAATGGCACCGGCGCATCAAACGATGAAAAGAATGAAAACGTAACTAACTGGTCAGGCTGTAGATGGCGTTGGCAAACAAGACATGCGCAGGTGGCGGTGCCTTTGCGGATTTCTCTCACTTTGTCGACTGCTGACGTTTTCCCCTTATGTCGCAGATTATCCGGCGAATCATGGAGGAGACGAATTTGCTGAAGATGTGGGTGACCTACATGATTCCGAAGATCGAGGACGGCAACAACTTTGGCGTCTCGATCCAGGAGGACGCGCTCGGTGAGGTAGCTTCGGCTGAAACCGAGTCGGCCACTCACTTCTACGAAATCTCGCGCTACTTCAGCTTCCGAGCCAAGCTGGTCTCCAAGGTGGTCAAGTACCCGCACATAGACGACTACCGACGCGCCGTGGAGGAGCTCGACGAAAAGCAGTTTGTCTCGCTGCGGCTGACGCTGGTCGAAATCCGCAACCGGTACGCCACCCTGCACGACGTCATCAGCAAGAACCTGGTCAAGATCAAGAAGCCTCGGTCGGTGGACTCAGCCGAGTCGATGTACTGAGCGTTACCGTGCGCGTGCGCAGTGACGCGGAGACTCTGCCGGGCGGGCGCCCTCGGGTCGGCCCCGCCCACGTTCCAGTGCTGGGGCGGCTCGGGTCGCACAGCCAACAGTCATACTTTCATGGATCATAATCGTGCCTCACTAGAATAAATACACCTCGGAAGGTGCAAGGTGTGAGCTATTCGCTCCGGTCATGGTTGGATGGAGAGTAGACTACTCTGGACGCGTGGTCGATGTTGTGGAGTTGCATTCGCTCGAGTTTTGGTACGGCGGCAGATGAACCCGGCCGAATACGCCCATCTAGTTGACATTCTTTCTTCTGAGAACTGTTGATCTAAAACGGACCTAAACGGGCCTAAACATCATTCATTTATTTAAGTGTGGACTGTGGTACCTAAGTAGCATTTTTGCTGGGAAAGTTACGTTTACGCTAAAGGTCGCTGTCTGAAAAATCGCTGTCTGAAACATTGTCATATTTCAAGCATTTAACTGACGGTTCCATGACATTTTACGGAAGGACGAGTGGATAGGAACAATTGTGGGATGGGTGGGATGGAACCTGGCCAAGGAACTGTTAGTGAAATGACTCCTCCCCGTCCCCGACGCTCTCGATCGTATATGCGCGACTTCAGTTTCTTTTCTTATAGGTATCTTGTGATGTCCAAACACATCATTTTTTACTGTAGCCATCATTTATTACTTTTATGATCATTTGTTACTGGAAACATTTATTACATTTAATACTGGTAAGTACTAGGGCCCTGCCACGGTCATAGAATACTAGGCCGGTTTACATAGCCCAAGGCCCTATACATAGCCTTGACTAGGCCCTGCCTGAAACTGACAGGTCCTGAGATTTACGGGAAGAAATGTAGACTTTTGCAATACTTCTCAACGCTGCGCTGCCAGATGCAGTGTCTGGCATCATTTTTTGGGGCGAAAGTGGCGCAGTAATTACAGCGCGCTGTGAACAGCCGACCAAAACAAATGCGTTGTGGTCAGCCCTCCGACTTGAGATCCCACGGTTCGATGCGCTCGCTTGGGTTGACGACGGTTCTAGTTCAAGTTTGATTTTCCGTGGCTTGGGGTGGACGGCGTGTTATAATATTCACTTAAGTTACCCACCTTAAGGTAAGCTTTTTGTTTCAATTTGTTGTTTCTGCGTCTGTCAAAGGTTCTTTGTTCATGCCAGCAATCATGTTGCCAATCTAAGACCAACTTTCCAATCTGAATTGGCACTTTCTCCCCTGACCTGACTCCTTGTCCTAAGTTTGTGGGAACCTTCTGTCATAGCAATATGGGCCTGCTATCTTGACCTACTACTTGCCTTTTGAGCTCCAGACTAACTAAGTGCGCACGTAAATTTCCAGGTTTCCCAATTATCCATGGGGTCTCAATTGCCAGCATTTTTATCAATGCTCCTAAATCTTGACCTTTCTCATCCTCAAGCCCATCAAAGTGCTATAAGAATAAACAGCTGTGCATCCTGATCCAGATGTACAGATTTCTATTGCAACAAGCAATAAGCTTTGATAATTGATTTCATGTCAATGTGGGATGAAAACAATTAGAATTTTTCAATTTGATATATTTCACTTCAAATTTAAGTACCTAGAAGAAATTTACTGCTTGAAATGCAAGCTATTTCATACATTAACTTGAACTGGTATGGCAAATTGCTTTAATCAAAGCTTGTACCTAGTTTTCTTATATGGGGTGTAGGCAGCGCCACAGCTGGTGTATAGTCCTTTCCTTACTACACAGAACAGAGGAGGGATTATCCCCTCCAGTTTTGTGCATTGCAACTGATGATTTAAAACAGGTAGGTTTAAATAAACCTGCTACCCTAATTATTTAAGTTTCCTGTAGTGATTCAGATATTTTTATGTAAAATGGTAATGAAGATGGTATTCATTTTTAAAATTGTGAAACTTGTGTGTTTTCTTTTGCACCAGTAAGTGAGCAAATTGCCATTATTAATTGCATACACTTAGAGTTTATGAACATGTCATTATCATCATTGCATGCATTGTCAATTTGGCTGATGCACAATTTAGTTAGTTTTTTTTTTGTGCTGGAATTTGGTTTGAAAGTTACAGTAATATTCTCTCAGTTTGTATATTCATTCATGCAAATTTGAGCAGATTAGCAAGTAGCCAAGCAGAGAGTGATTGAAGATAATTAGGTTCTTAGGTCTGGGCTCATGTCTTCATTCAAGTTTCTCAATGAATGGATCTGGATGTTACATAATGCCTATGTATTACATGTTTTCCTTCACCAAACACTGGTCTCCTCACAGAGCATTCTTTCATTACATCAATCATGGTATTAATCCCAGTGCTTGTGACACTTCTCCACCTTGCAGCAGAACATGTTGGGCTCTGAGGAGGCGTCAGCGCCGTCGGAGCCGGAGCCGCCGCCAGAGGCCGTCAAACCCGCCGCCGCCGCTGCTGACGCGCCGGAGGACGCCCCGGACGGCCGGCACAGCCGCGTGGCGCCGCTGGCTCCGTCTCCGGCCGTCAGCCACGTCTCGCTGGTGGAGCTGAGCCTGGAGGAGGACGGACCGGCCGCCGGCGGCGACTGGACGGCCGGCGCCGCGCCGCGCGTCCGCGGCCTCGACAAACTGCAGGAGCTGGAGCGCGAGCTCGGAGCCGCCCAGCAGGAGCTCAAACTCAAGGACGAGGAGGTGGCCAAGCTGAATCGGATCCGCAACGAGATCGAGGCAGAAATGGAGGAGCTGACCGCCAGTCTGTTCCAGGTAAGTGGCGGAGTGCGGGGTGAAGGGATCTTGCGTTGTTATAGCATAATATTCAGCATTGCTAATACCTCAAAATATTATCTGGGTATCCCATAACTCAGATGGTGTTTGGCTCAAAGTGTTGATGCGGTCGAGGCGCTCAACTAATCCACAGCACTCAGGAAGAGAAATTTGTGTCGGACTCTGACTCCAGCGCTCGATACAGGAAACTACTGACGTGAGTGATCCACTGTTGTTAGGAGAGTAGCTGCAGCCAGTGAGTGGGACAGACTGGTCTGTTAGCCCTCGATGAACTCCGGCGTGATATTCGATATCGGCATTTTATGCCTCGTCAAAGTAAATACAACGATTGCTTCCTACACGAGATAGGACCGTGCATGTTTGGCTAAGCTTATGACAAGAACGGATTATGTTATGATCAGTGTAGTTCGATAAGTTTCCGGCTGTTTGCTACTCAACACACCGTTTCTCTCAATCAAACCCTTTCGCCCTCATGTGTCCACGTTTCTAAATGGGCGGTAGTGGAATGCTGTGTATCGTGGTTCCGATGAATGGGATTACGTTTTTATCCCGATTATATCTGGCGTTATGCCTCTCGAGATATTTCCTCTGTGTGGACTGAAGTCCGAAGGTCGCGCGTGGGTCGGAGGAACGGGAGTGTCCGCCGTCGAGCGCGCTCCGCCGGTGGGCGGCATTCTCGTTCCTGCACCGAGACAGGGTCGCTAGCCGAGCGCACTGTTCCTCACGGAAACTGGATGCCGTGAATCATACCTGATAATCTGCATGCCATCGCCCATTTCCGTGAATTCACCATTTATGTACCTACTGCACCGTAAGTTCTGAATATCCAGGTAAAACTTTGGATAAACAAACACGCCACCAGGCTAGCGTAAAAGAAAGGTCTCTGGCTGTTCCAGTTTGCGAAACTGATCAACTGTCGAGTGCTATTATATAGCATCTACAACCGAAGGCTCGTACGATGACAGTGAAAATCTAACTCGTATCGTTTTGCACCTTTAATTGAGTTTCAATGTATATTGGGATAATCAATTAACGATTTAAATACGCTTTTTATAAGGCTGTGCCATGAAGCCCAATAATGCAATTAAATATGAACAAAACATAACGACATTTTAGTCTCGCTAAGCGCGAAAATAGGCAGGCAAAGATGGCAAGCCAGGCGACAAGCTCATCTAAAACACAAACAGGATCGCCATATTCGTTTCTTATATGTTCCAATAGTTCTGATGCGTTTTTTTTTTTATAAACGTTCTCCCTTGGCCAGCAGTTTGTACGTCATCAGACGATTCATACCGTGTTTGCAATGCTGGCCTATGTATACATTTAACACATTCTTTAAATCGCCAACGTCATATTATTTCAACATCAAGGTCTGGTTTATTCTTTCACAGTCGTCATGTAACACCCGGGGCCTGACACCTCCCCGTGAACATTAACGCCGAGGATCCGGATTTTTGCCGGCTGCGTCACGTTGTTTATTTGTTTCGGCGAGCCTCATTCCTGAGCTTCAGCACGCTGTCCTCGTGCCTGGCACCGTCGATGTCGCGTCTGTTTTCCTGTCGGGGGAGGGGAAGGGCAATTTTCGATCGCTGACCCGGTCTCCTTGGAAGCCCTACGCTCTGGCGCTACAAGGTTTTTCTCCCGGACAGCCGGGGTAGCTTCGGCGGCTGCCATGACCTTCGCTGCACGGGCTGTAGGCTTCCTGTCATTGTGCTGACAGATCGGTACGCAGGGGTGGCGCCGGCAGCGTGCCAGTGTGACGCTCGCCGTTATTAACCGTCACGCACGCCAGCAAGATGGGTTTGGCGTCCCGGGACATGGGCGTGGCTGGCCGGACTGGGCACTCATCGGGTGGCCTGTAGGGGCTAGGGGGTTTCGGTTACATTATTATTCCACGCTGCTTTGTCGTGCTCAATATGTTAAATAACTCATAACAACGATGACGACTGACGAGGTGTCTTATGTGCTTAGACAACATATTTTTTTTTAGTTCACATTGTTTAGATGGAATCGCAAGGCTGTCACAATTCTCCATGGTAGCGAGCTTGACTGTAGGACGGGAATCTAGTGAATCCGTGGAAGTGTGTGAAAGCCTTGGCGTGTCATCACTACCATTTGGTAACCAGTCGGAGTGCTGTTTGTGGTAAAATTGATTCACATGCTCACACACGATCGTGACAAGGAACATGAAGCTATTCTTTCATGAGCATAAATAATTTATATACATTCCGTGACCATCAATAATAGATGTTACGTAATTTAGTTGGGTGCTCGCAGTGGGTGCACACAAGTGTTGTTAATGCATTAGTATCAAATACCATTGGTTTACCTCCCGGCCCTTCTCCGTGTGTTCAATGAGGGTCAGAATATATAAAACCAACCGATGGACGACTCAGTTCTAAGTCGCCAACAAAGATTACTGCATGGACCATACCGTGCCGACGTCATCGTGTCTGGTGTCTGACCTGCGAACTACCGTTTCCCAGGAGGCCCACAAGATGGTGCTGGCGGCCAACGAGAAGCAGGCCGCCGCCGAGAAGGCTCTGCAGGAGGCCACGATGAAGATTGACGTGTTGCAGGCGGAGGTGGCTGCGCTTAAGACGCTGGTCATCACGTCCACACCGAGCCGACCGAACGCCCACCTGCACCCCCAGATCGACCTGGGAAAGTCCAACGGTGAGCGGCCGGACGGGTAACCGCCGCTCCGGAAAGGGTGGCGAGTGCAGCCCGAAGCGGCTTACCGAGATCGATGTGTACCTATGGCTACAGATAACATTGAATACGCACGACGAATGAATGAACGGATGAATGAATGGATGTATGTATGCACTTTTGCCAGTCTGTTAATAAGATCATTACGAAGTTTATGCATCCCTGTTTTCTGCCTTAACTACTCTCGCCCTCCCTGTCCTCAGGTATCAAGATCTGGAAGAAGGGTCACCACCGGTCTCCGTCGAACCAGGAGCTGACGCGTCCGGACGCGTCTCCTCCCTCGTCACCGGCCCGCTCGCCGCCGCAGCATCTGGCCGCCCCGGAGCACATAGACGAGGTCAGTGATATGTGTCCACGAGGGCAGGAGGATACGGGACCTTAAAAATAAGGGTTGTCTAAGGTTAGTTGTACGATGTACGAATAAAGGTACCTTTGAGGTCCGTAACGTATTTTAAACCGGTGGACGGAAACTAAGTTCGGAAGTCCGTACTATTGTGTCCAGATTGATAGAAAAGCAGCTATGTAGCCGTCATGAATTCTCATTACACTCTACAATCGATATTTTTGGGTAGCTCATGTTTTCTATCACGGCAGGTGGCCTTTTCTCCTTGTTTACCGCCGCGCCGCACACAATCACTTGTCACCGTGTCAGTAAGACCGAAGGCTCAGTACTGAGCACAGTGTGCTCGCCCGCCACAGGTGGACCCGCGACTGCTGCACAGTACACACTATGACAGACCGTGTAACATTTACCACGTGGTCAATTCGGCACTCAGTTTTCTCCCGCCACAGGTGGACCCGCGGCTGCTGTCGGAGGTGTCCGCCTGGCGCGAGTCGCCCTCCGTGGAGCTGACGGCGCCGTTCGTGCGGGACGTCTACCGCGAGGACATCGAGCCGTGTCTGCGATTCGCCACGCCGCAGCTGACCGAGAAGGTGACGTCGGCGGTGCTGCAGAACTCTGTCTGCATAGAGGAGGTGTCCTCCGGCCTGCGCGGCCCCAACTTCCCCAGGTAGGGGCGCCGGACGGGGCGCTGCGTAATGGGGTGGGTGCGGCAACATGTTGGACTGAGGAGAGAGAAGGCAAGGTGAAGGATACCTGTCTTGACAAAAGGACCATTCAAAGCGTTCACACTCGGATTGTGGGTTTAGGCGACATAACTTTTATAGCAAACTCGGTGCTTTTTAATTAATTGTTGCCTAACTTTATATCGAGTGTTTCCAAAACCTAGCCTTCATTCGGAAGACATCTATGAAAATAATAGTTTTTGCTAATGACTCCGAAACAAATCCTACGAAATAATTTCAGAAATATTTTTATCGGGGAACATGGTGCTGGCTGTCCTAATGATTTCATAGCTAGCGTAGCACTGATGCCGTGCAATGTGCATTTTATTATCTGTGTTTTGATGTTTTTTTGCTATCACTGTCATTTTGTTTTCTTTTTGTGTATCATTGAGAGAATATTTTTGTTTTCAATTGATCAATGAATGCATTATCTTCTTGACATTCGCCTGCAACATGTTTATTGACTTCATTGATGGCAGCTTATCATTGATATCATTTGAATTTGTAGAACTCTATGGCCTTCCATTTGCATTTATCTATAGAAATTGCAACTGTGTTTTTGCTCGTTTGGCTGTAATTGTTCATTTTTGCATCGTGATCCTCACATGAGCTGCTCCAAGCATTGCGCACATTAGTTTCATGAATTATCTGTTTGGTCTGCCCGCGAGGATGTGTAATGTTCAATTGACGCTGATTTATTCACGCTGCCTGTCGCCAATTCGCTGTATATATGTGTGTACGTATGTACCTCTGTGCGTTGTGTACCGTTGGCGACCGCCTGCCCCGTGCCGCCGGGTCCCCGTGCCTCGCCGCCCCCCGCCAGTGACGGCTGTACCGGCCTCTGTGCGCTGTTAGCAGTGACGATTCCAGACGGTGTGCGCTGCTCAACGTCCACCGCACGTGCCGGTACCGGATGAAACTGCCCGGCGAGACGGGATGGATGGACATCTCGCAGATCTGCCGAAACCGGGTGCGTATTACTGACAATCTAGCCGGGGGGGGGGGGGGGGGGTCGTCTTGAAATAACAGAGTCGATTTGGCTGCCGGAGCAAGTCTGGGGTGGAAGTGGGTGGAATGAAGGTGGTAAACGCCGTCTGAAGATGGCGGCTCTCCCTGTTCTGCAGTCGTTTTGTGAGAGACTTGGATGTGGGCTCAATTGTCAAACAGCGTGACCTCGGCTTTTTTAACACCGTTTCTGAGTCAGTTCTAACCAATCCGTACTTTCGGATGTAGGACCATCCATTATCTGTCACATTGAAAGATGATAAGTCGTAATTACGAATCTGGTTTTGACGTTGTTTAGTTGTAACTGAGGTGCATTTCTCTCAAAGATTTTCTATTCGAAAGCATCTTTTGGTACCTACAAACTGCCGAATACCATTGAATTGTCAATTTGCTAACCCTATAGTGACACATTTCCGTCGTTTTTCCGCTCAGATAACAGCCGTTTGCGACTTCCTCAACTACCTGCGCTACATCGAGCGCGGCATGGTCAAAGGCTCCGTGATCGACATCTACCGGGAGATCATGCGACTGAGGCGCAACATGGCCGTGGCGCGGCTCGGCTTCACCACCTGAGTGTCCAGCGGCGTTCTACCGAAGGCTGGCAGTCGTTCTACCGGCTGCTGGATGTTCTACCGACTGGTAGTGGTCGCTCTACCAATGGCAGGTGGACGTTCTACCGACTTTGAGCGGACGCAATGTTGGAGTCTTGACAGACATCACTCGACCAAGCTTAGCCAAGTTCTCGTGACTGCTATTGAAGCTGAGGTATGGTCTGAGCGGGTTCACGGCGGTCGTAGGCTACGTTCGCTGTACGACAAACAGCTGTAGGTCCCCAGGTGAAGTCTTGCCGTGCCTGTGGCATACTTTGGTCAGTGACTAGCAACACTGATCCGGCCGGAAACGAGATGTCATTTGAACAGAACAGGGTTTCATAGACAACACTCGCCACATCGGATTTACAACAGTTTTGGCCTTTTTACTTCAGTTTTATATTCGGACTTGACCCTATTGTGATGCATGAAAAGACTCCTCGCGTTATTGGTGCGTTCAGATACTCCACAGCTGAGGTATGGTGCTTGCTTAGCAAGCTGCGCTGGGTTTGGGTGATGTTCACGGTCCATGACATGAGCCCGGCGGGGGCGACTCAGGCTGAGGGTCTAACCCTGTGATGTCGGTCTCTGGGGCGGTGTGTGTCCTCTCGGGACGGTGGTTGAGAGTCACTGAGAGAGGGCGGTAGGCTGATCGGGAGGGGCGCGCCGCGCGGCTGTGGACGCGCTGGTATCTGGAGAATCTCTTTGGTCAGGGCTGGTGATTCCGTGGGCCGCGCGGGCCCGGGCGGCTGTATATTTATGCACATCGGGAGAGCTCAGTGTTGGCGGGTGCCGCTCTCGCCTCCGGAGAAGGCTGTCGTTGTTGAAGACGGTGTCTGTATCGGTGGTTCGTTGTGTATCTGTGGCGCATCTGTGTTATTTCTGTGGTACGATTCCGACGGAGCCAGGACGTGGAGGCAGTTGGTGTTGTTAGGTGTAGTGACGCTGTTGGTGGGTTCCGAGAGCGCCAGAGAACAGCGACTCGGTTCGGGTGATTCGTTTATGCATGATTTAGGTTGTGATGGATTTAGTGATGGTCACATATTCTCAGCCGAGATTGGCCCGCGGGGTCGCCGTGTGGGACCGGCCCGGGCGCGGTCGGCGCGTTCTGTTCCAGTTCCGCGGCAGCAGCTCACTGATGTCGGATGCTGCCAGTGGTGCGGACCGAACTTCTTGTGGCTTTAATCTGGGCCCAATCGACTCGTTATCTGTGTTGTACTCTGCACACTGAGCACTAAATGTATTTATTGCTTACTCCCCTGCACTGTGCGTGTTATACTACGCGCTATGTATCGTTATGCATCGCCGTCTTCCCTTGACAACTCTGGGAGTTTGATCCTTTGTTTCTTTCCCGGACACAAGCTCAGCTAGTCTCATGACAACATCCAGACAAACGTTTACAATTTTAGGCACGATATTTTCCTGTCGTGTTGATGCTAAACTACACATATGTTGGATTTTTTCGTTCGCCCGATCGTCTACAAACATATTCTTTAACCCGTGTTCGGTCTTAATTTCATTGAGCTAGTCTTTGCTTATATGTAATGCTGTCCGTTCGTTCTCCCTCCCGGATAGCTACTTAATCGTTATAGACAGTCTTTTTTCATTGTGGAGGTCGTTCGAATGTTGTTAGGTTTGGAGACGTCATGCCGTGTCCTTCGAAGTTGTTCCGTAATGAGTTACAAATCTTCATTTTGTTGACATTCGTATGTACCTATATGGCACATTTGTTCGTATGTGTGTGTAGTTCACGATGAACTCCATTTATAAGCCGTGAAATTGCCAGGCTAACTGAAGTTAGTTGTGACATGGACAGCGGTTGCTTGTGACTTGAGGCTCGCGACCGGAGATATGTCGTTCTCAATGTGTGGTTGTCTCCGTTTTATCGATATATTTTGTTACAGCTGATTTTTGTCCGGTTCCTTCGAAATGTGGAGCCTGTGCCAAAGCCAATAGCTACGATTGATGGTGTCTTCCAGAGCAAGTGGTCATGACGCCACGCACTTCTCGCATGGATCGCAATCTCAAAAATAGATATTGACTTACTATTGCAAGTTTATGCACGTATATGTGACAACTGACAACATCCTTTAGAATTACTGCGTTGTTGTGAATTGATGATGTATGCATTACAGATGCAGGTCTGGAGACTGTATCCAGCTCAGTTCTGACTTCGCTCCATTTTCGAGTGCACGTTGTGGACGCCTCGTCTCGTTCGGCGGGCGTGCGTATACTATTTGGTCGCTGTGACCATTATTTTCCGTGAATACATTGTCATCTGGAGATATTTAGTTTGTTGTTTGCAATGTGCCCTCACGAATCGTGGGTTGTCTGCTTGTGCTGGCCCAAGTTGTAAATTTTACATGCTCGGCATACAAGTAATATAATATTTAAAGCTTAAGAAAATGAACTGATAACATCCGGACGGATGGCATCGATGAGTTGACTGTCGCGCGACCAAGCACGTACCTAGGATTTGGCTTGGATTTGGCCAGGGGAGGGGGGGATCCCGGGGCCTCCTCTCTACAAGGGGCCTCCTCTAGTCTCTACAGAGGGCATCCTCTCTAAATGGGCCTCCTTTCTACTGAGGAGTGAGGAGTCAGAGGGGCCCTAGCGGTCAGACACATACATTAGTGGTTCAACACAGGAGGCCCCAGGTGGCAGGTAGTAAGAAGGACCCTAGCTGTCAGGCTGGTCAGAGGGCCGTGACCAAGATTCTTACAGATAGCCGTGACTGTCCTGACGTGATTTTTGGGATTCCCGTGAATTTCGTTCGCCTCCGACGTGATTTTGATCAACGTGGGCTTACGGTCGCGGGGGCCTGAAAACCCCAAGGGGGAGCGCGCCCCGTCCGCCCCCCCCCCCCGCGTCCCTGCGCGCGACGCCGAGTCAGCCAGTTACATCAGAGTCAGAGTCAGTCAGGACAGGATAGTTCAAGGATAGTTCTGGCGTGGTGAATGGGTGCGACGATTCAGCCCTGTATGCAAGTATTCGCATGGGGATAAAAACTCTCTAGATTGTCTGGAGATGAGGAATTGTCCAATAAATCGTATTTTCCAGGAGAGGGTTCGATGCATGTTCGATGTCCTTTGAGTTTGTTCTGAACTTATGACGTCAGCAAAAAGAAGAGAAATAAACTTGAAAAAATAAAACATTTTGGCATGTTTTAAGTTTAGAAAAATTCTTGGGTATACTAACCTAACCCACAACAGCTTTTAGAAAAAATTAAAAAATTAAAGTAATCATTTTGAATCATTTTACGCAATTTCAAACCTACCAGTCAATGACGTCAGATAAATCTCACTTTTCGCTGGCTTTGGCCAGCTTTGGCTGCTTGGCTTGAACAAACCGTTTTCGTTTTCTCCACCGTTCCCGCCTCTCATTCCCGAAGGACGGCGCCGCAGCCGCACAGGGGCGTAGGCAGGGGGGGGGGCCACTGGGCCATGGCCCCCCCCCCTTGGGCGCCGAAGGCGCCCTTTGCGATTGGAGGGCGCCGAAGGCGCCCTCCAATCGCAAATGCAATTGTGATATAATCGAATCGAAAAACAATCGCGACTGGAGGGCGCCCTCCAATCGCGAATGTGTTTACAGGGAAAATACGGATGGAGGGCGCCCTCGGAGGACGCCCATTCCAAATACGCCCTCCAAATACGGTTGGAGGGCTCCCTCGGGCGCCCTCCAACCACATTTGTAGGCTGTAGCTCTAAGCGTAACGGTGGTCGCCTATGTAAGCCGCTGTCCCGTAAATAAGCGCCCTCTCACCCGAAGGCGCCCTCCTGTAGGTCGCCACCCTGCTACATATTGCCGCCCTTCTGCTGATCGGCGTCCTCATAATTATTGGCGCTCTCCTACCTATTGCGCCCTCATGTGAAATTTTCAAGGCCGCCTTTCTCCTTTTTGGCACCCTATTGTTCAGTGCCGCCCTCCTACCTATTGGTTCCCTAGTCCTTCCTGTTGAATGTTAATCGGGGCCCTTCTCTTATTGGCGCCCTCGTGTTGATCGCCGCCCTCCTAACCACTGGCACCCTCCTGTTGATCACCGCCCTCCTATCCACTGGTACCTTCCTGTTGACCAGCGCCCTCCGCACAGACGCCCTCCTGTTCGTGTCATCCTCTTGAGCAAAGGCGCCCTCCTCACCATTGCCACCCCCATTTTAATCGTCACCCTTCCGCTCATTAACGACTTCCAGTTGATGACCGCCCTCCCACCTATTGGCGACCTCTTGTTGATCGCCACCCTCCTATTGGTGCTCTCCTGTTCCTCGCCACCCTCTTACCTGGTGGCGCCCTCCTGTTGATTGTTGATCGGGGCCCTCCTACCTATTGGTGCCCTCCTGTTGATCGCTGCCCTTCTATCCATTGGCGCCCTCCTGCTGCTCGCCAACTTCCTACCTATCGGTGCCCTACTATCGAAACTCGGGATGTTGATCGGGGCTCTCCTACCTATTAGCGCCCTCCTGTGGATCGCAGCCCTTCTACCTATTGGCAACATCCGTTGATCGCTGCCCTCTTATCATTTATTTACTCCTTTGGCATGTTTTTCAACTTAGTCGTTCTATTGCACATAGTTGATGTCTTGCCTGTGAAAACTGCCACAAATGAACGTGCATTCAGCACAATGAATGAAGTACCTATACCTACCAAAACTATCTACGCTCTACGATGCATAAAACACGTCTTTGGTCTTAACGGATTGATCCTACTTTACGTGCATCATGGCGACATGGCATCTATATGGATTACGATTAAGTATTGTCAACAGGTTCGGCCGCAACAGCAGGCATCTGAAGTTTCGGTGATTGAAACTGGTTATGTGGGTACACTGTATGCATCTGTGAGAAGGCTATGAAGGCTGGTCTGAGGTAATTTGGATGATGTTTACGCATCTCGCGCTCCGGTATCAATCCGATACGGTGATCTGGTGCGTAGATATGCCACCGCCAATAAACTTTTATACATCGACACCCATGAGCCAAGCTTTCTATACACTATACAGTTTGTGTGGCAGCGGCCCGACCAAACCTTTGGTATTTTTTACACCTTCAAATTTGGTAAAAGAGCGAGAGGAGCTTTGAACGGTGATCGTATAAAAGGCGTGCCTAAAAAGCGGAGGAAAAGGTTGTTTTCAAAAATTTCGCGCGCCTTCGGCGCAGCATTTCAAGAACACTTGACCTTTTGTGATCTGGAGTATAAAGAATACACACGATGCAAAATCAATGCAGCACGACCTATACGAGGTTACGCAAAAAAAAAACTGGTGGCATGGTAAAAAACGCCTCCCAACCCCCCCCCCCCCCCCCACCCCGCTGAGCGATTTTTTATCTCGCGACCGTATGGCGCCCTCCTTGGGTGAGGTGGCGCCCTCCAAACCCTTGGCCCCCCCCTTCGCGATTTTCTAAATACGCCGCTGCAGCCGCATGTTTGGTGAGAGGGGTGAGAGGGTATGCTGCATTGGTGAGAGGATTGGGGCATAAAAGAGAAGCAATTTGTGTTTGCTGTTAGTTGGTTGTCGGTTAGGTTGAGCCAGAATAATGTCTATCCATTGACATCGTCCAAATATGAGTTAAGTACGTTGTGAATTGGAATCGTCCTGCAATTCATTTTCTCATTCCAATTCTGTTTTTTTTTTCAGGTACTGGAACGTGCAGTTTAAGTGGTAAGTTTCAGTTGTTTGCTGCAATTGGCAGCACTGTACCTATTTAAGCCATTGGATGACCTTAAAGATATGAACCGCTTTAATTTGTCATATTGAGTCACAGGTGGGTGCCGGTTGGCCAGTCTGCAAAACGTGGCAGCCAGCTCGACGAGGTGTTTGGGGCAGCCGGAATCCTGCCCCAAATGGGGCAGTTGACTTCCGGGCAGCCCAATTTCTGCCCCAAATGGGGCATCTACTCGGGGCAGGTTAGATTATGCCCTAAATGAACTATGTATGGCATAAAAACCACACATATAAATACATTACCCGTGCAAATGCGGAAATCGGTCACGGTATGATTATTACTTCTTAGGTCTGGGGCGATTTGATCAAGGCTCGTGAAATTCACACACAAACCTTTCCTTGGTTGCTAATACGAAAACGTTTATATACTTAGCTTCAAATTCAAATTCAGATTCGAAATTCATATTCGATGGAAAAAATGATAAAAACGGACCCCTTAGAATCTCACCAAATTTACACCAGCCACTCAGCATGACCTGGTCATCACAGAGTAAAATTATCTAAGCTCGGCAAGCCCTGGGGGCTGAGATATTAGGGGTCAAAGTTCAAGGTCATTAAGGGCGGACCCCTCAGAATTACCTCAAAATTTGCACACAGATGCAAATTGACATGCTAAGCACGATGGGCATAAAATCTAAGCCCGGCAAGCCCTGACCTGGAAGTTAGGTCAGGTCAAAGGTTGCAGCCACGTGGAGGTCACGTGACCCATTTTAAAGCGGACCCCTCGGATTTTGATGAATTTTTGTGAACTGATACATCTAGACACCCTCATTAATATCCTAAATTATCTAAGTTCGGCAAGCTCTGGGGGCTGAGATATGAGGGGTCAAAGGTCAAGGTCATGTGAGAGCGGACCCCTTCAATTTTTGTTAAAACGTAAATCACCCCTCAACTTTGTCTTCTGAATTTAATGGTAAAAATTTCTAAGCTCGGCAAGCCTTAGAAAAGCCAGAATGAGTATTTAGAAAACGAGCATTTGTATTCCAATATGGCTGACAGGTAGGTATTGTGGCGCATCAATGACATAATTGACGCGTAAAATGTAAACAAACTGCATGCTTCCAAATGAAGCAATTCCTTTACAAATCGATCGATTTTACTATTTCCTTCATAGATAGTGGCCGTTTAATGTCTATTGATGGATTACGAGTCTACGACCTCATACCTATCTTCATAACGGGCCAGTGACCCCTGATATAAGCCCTTGGTGGATGAATGACCTCTAACCTTTTCTAGTACCTAATAGGTGTCACTTCAACTTGAGCTCTCACATCTCCTAACTCAGATCTGACCTGAACTGAGATGAATGACGCGTCACGGGCCTCTGACCTCCGTCATGTGGGTCATTGACCTTTGACGTACCCAGAAAGGAATCACTTACCTGACATGTTAAAAGGACCAGTGACCTCTGATTTGTCTGAACTCTCGCCCGTGTGCGGTGTGCGGGTGAAGGGGCCGGAGGTACGTTGGAACCCCGCCCGCCGCCGTTCGGGCCCCTGATGGGAGTTAGAGCTTCGCGGAAAAACGAGTGTATTGCGAGCGTTACGAGTTGTCTTAGGATAACCAGTTTTAGTCCTGGGTCAGTGACCTCAGTTGACCTCGTATGACCTGCACACCAATATGACCTGCTTTCACATACGTCACAGACATTATTCCATAAAGATGACTCAGTCGTTTTCATCTCATTGTCACTTTGTAGGTCGCACCATTTATTGATGAACCAAGTTAGATAACCCGACGACTTCACGTGAGGATACATAGTAACATGTCACAATCGGCATTAAGCAGCCTCGCCTCGGCAAACACTGACGAATAGAAAACACTCCCCAGTCCCCACGCCTCCGCCAGTGATAATAAAGCCTACAAAACGTTAACTGGTCAACTCCGAGCAGTCGCGCAGCACTAGTCAATCAATGAGTACATTGCGACGCCGTCAACATGGGCGGGTCCCGTGGTGGACAGTGTCAAGTCGTGCTTAGCTACGATACGTAACATAAGATACGGCCGCGCCCGTACAGATCACCCGTGCCGTACGGCCCCAAACACGACCAAACACTGGCGGCGGTACACGGGCTCGCTCGGACCGCTCCAGTCGCTGCTGGGTGACTCACTTCAAGCTGAGCTCAGCACATCACTCAGAGATCCTACCTGAGCGTCCGGCGGCGACGGCGAGGTGCCGTCTCACCGGGCTGGCCAGCAGACTGAGGCAGCTGGCGCACGGCAGCGTGCCGTGCTCATATTGCGCCGGCACCACGCCGATGGCACCTCGCAACACGAGCTGAACAGCTCCGTCCGGTACTCGAGCACCTTGCGGCTGTCGCGGTAGCGTTTGAACACATTAAGTGGGTTCATGTCCTCTGTTGTTGTTGTTGTTGTTGTTGTTGTTTCCCTCCAGCCCTAGGGCGTATCCTGCCGGCTCTGGAGGGGGACGAAGGCGGCACCCAGGGCCGCTACTGCGTCGATGCTGCGCAGGTCCTCGTGGGTCGGGTGTATAGTTCCGAGCACTCGGAACCGGCAGTTGCACCAGGGCGGGACACCGCATCAGCGCGTGGGCCGAGGTGTCTGCTTCCTCACGACAGAGCCCACACCGGCAGTTGGCGATACCAGCCGTCGGGCCAGGCCGCTCTGGTCCTCGCACGCGCCAGCCTTGCCGCTGCTCTCTGGATCGTTCTGGTGTCCAGTGGTGTGTGTCTGAGTTCTGGTCCAGGGCGGAGGTCTCCTCCGCCAGGGTGTCTGCCCTCTCATTTCCAGGAAGGCCGCAATGCGAGGGGACCCACTGGAGGTGAATGGGTCGTCCCGCGGACGACGGCGGCTGGTTGTACGAGTGGTGCGCGGTGACGTGGTGGCCCCCGACGTCGGCCGCCGCCGCACAGCGTGCGACAGGATGTTGTTGCCTGTTGGTGCCATACCTACTCCTGTGGCAAGCAACAGAATCAGAGCGTCAGCAGGGGCGCATGTGATCAACAACGCTGGATATTCGCATATTATTTCAACAGACAAAGAGAAAAACAGCACAGGAGAAGAATGAATAGCAACCATAGCAGCCCTTTCCCTGACGTCCACACGCATGTAGTTGGATTCACCCTATCTGAACGGTCAGGCCGCCAGCTCACCTCGGTGGGCGGCTGGTGACTCGGTTTGGGCGGCGCGCCGGGCGCCGTCGGCAGCGGCGGTGGCGGTGGCTGCTGCTGCTGGGGCTGCGGCGGCGGCGTCGGTACCACTGTGTCCGAGTAGGTCTGGAAGCCGCCAGTGGGCGTGTGCACCGCGCTGTGGTCACCTAGCCCGGCGCCATCATCGAGACGTGTAGGTACTGCCGGCGAGAGCATGCCAATCAGCGTCATGATGGTTGTATGAGCAGTGGCGAAACGAAGCTTAAGTAATGAACAATACGGGGTCAGTTAATCAGGCCATATGAAACTCAGCAGAACTAGAATTTGCATTTCCCTACAAGATACAAAAATAAAACAGCTTTAAAACATAATTTTCATCAAAAGTCACTACAAACAGGTACACAAAACTACCATTAAATCAAACATCTCAACAAAACTCAGTTTATATGACTATATTGCGCTAAAAATGACTATATTAGATTGACTATATGTACAGAGAGAAACGGGAGTCAGACACTCGACAGGGGACAGCGGCGGCTGCAGGACAGGGAACGGCAGCGCTCGCCGCTTGGTCAAATTAAACGTGCTCAAAATTGCGTAAGGTGACGTTCGTTTTTGCAGACGATACAAATAGCAAATAAGTAAAGTTGAGAATATGTAAGAGCAAGAACAGCATAAGTATGACATAAGACAGCCAGCTTTAACTTACTTTTGCGCCTTGAACTCCTTCATTATATCGAGGAAGTCGTTGTGGACCTGTGGGTTGTTCTGGAACTTGGACTTGACCTGGTTCTGGTAGGAGAGCACGTCTTCCACCTTGAGTCGGTGGTAGCTGGGCTGAACAGCGCCGGCATCGGCGTCGGCGGCGGCGGCTTCCCGTCGCTGTCGGCACCCATCACCATGGCGGCTGCCGTCATATTCGGCTGGTGGGCGATCGGCCCGGTCGTCTGCCTGACAGGAGGTACGGTACATACGGGTCGGAAGCGGTTAGAGGAGAAGACAGCGTCAGGTAGGGCGGTTGGGAGGACGAGGGTCGCTCGAACAGTGCAGGATTCATGTTTCGGTTTTATCCGAATAAGCCATCGGTTCCGCAATTTGGCCAAAAAAGCTGCAGACAGAATGCATGAATATCCAGACATTCACCGGATCAACCAGTTACATATCTGAGTCTGCTTCAACACTCAAGCAAAGCCGCATATCCCACAGCATTACGAAATAAGCATGAGTGTGGGATTGGGGCCCAGACCAACTAGGGACCACGTCCGATCCTTCAGTCTTGGGCGGGACTCTTTTCAGCGCGCTGACACTGTGAAGTAGCCGAGTCGGCCGCCGGGACTCACCTGGGGCGCAGAGGAGTGCGGCACCGGCCCAGCGGCGGTAGAGGCCGGTTCTTCGCTGGCGCCGGCAGAGTACTGCAACGAGCCACCGCCGCCTTCACTCTTCACCTAGAGGTTCTCGCCGTAGGCAGCGTGCACCGGATAGGCGCCGAGGCCCGCCGCCAGCGACCCATGCTGGTTCTACATGATGCCGTCTAAGGCGCCGTCAGCCGCGCCAGGCTCGGCTGGGCGGCCAGACTGGGCGACGAGAAGGGGCGGCTCGGCGGGAGAGCGGCGCACCGGCGGCACCACGCAAACCACGGCTGACGAACCGTCACTACTCTCCGGCGACTCCTGGCGCTTCATCACATTCTCGACACGGCACAGAAACTGCGGGCACACGCACACATACCGACCACACGTCAGCCGTCCGGCGCCGCCGCTCTACCGACCACGGACACCTGACAGGAGCTAACTGACAAGGAGCTCAGAGGGCAGGGCAGGGCAGGGC